GAAAGTATTTGGTTGATTTTTGTGTATCACGGTATCACTATGGTGATTTTTATTTAAATTGTTGTTACGGTAACACCCAAATATAAACAAAAACAAAAACAAATACGATTCTGTGCAGACAAAAAAATTGATTTGAGGAAAAAAAAACTGGCTTGGTGTTTTATGAAGCTTTGATCTAGTTTCACTTTCCAAAACATAAACAAACTATATTTACATCTTCAGATCCGCTTTCATCTATATTTCAAGTTTCAACTTTCCACCAATTATTTTTCCAATCGTTTATTGCTTGTCAACCAATTTGTTTAACTTTACTTGATAGCTAGCTTCTTGATACCCTCACTTGCCGTTGTTTAAATTTGCATTTGCTTTCTTTATATTAGCTTCAATTTGCTTCCAGATCAAGGATATAAACAAACAACAATCAATCAATTTATACATCATGGCTTTGAGTAATAGAGACAGAAGAAATGGATTAATCCTTTCAAATTCATACCGCAGTACCCAGCAAAGATCTTATGGGAAATTCAATAAAAGAAAAGCCAAATATAATCTGAATGATATTGTCCTGGATATCAATAAGGATTCAAATACAGAACATGATGGTGGTATTGCAGCTGATTTTGATATTTCAAACGATTCTTTCAAAATGACTGATGATGAAGATGATGAAGAAAATACTCCTATTAATGACGAGGAAGCTGATTTCAACAAGAAAATTTTGGATTTTGATAATGATATGATGAATGCTTCAAGTGATGATGATTTTGGTGATGAACCTTATGGAAGTGCTCAAATAATAAATATTGCAATTTCTGATAATGAAGATAGTGATATAATTATGGAAAGTCCAGAAAAAAGGAAACCAATTCCACAATTAACCACTAATATTGCTCCCGTTTCAAGTACACCTCAAAAAAATCGTGCAACTTCTAGAAGAGAATCAAAACCATTACAAGATCTTTCATCTTCTCCTAAAATCAATAACAATATTAATATTGAAGCTATTAACGATAAAAGAGTTCCATTAGGTCCTGCACCAAGTTTCCAAAGAAATAGCTCTGCTGGGTTACAACAGTTTAGAAATAGAAATTCATTAAATTCAAATAGTTCCAAAAGATGGTCTTTATTATCGTTCAATAATGAATCTTTGGAAAAAGAAGTTTCATCAAATAACAAATCTAAAAGATTTTCAATGGCTTCAACTCATTCCACAACTTCTACAACAAAAGATAAATCTAAGAGATTTTCAATTGCATCAACATCATCTCTTACTGAATTGAATAACCCAAATAGAAACAAAAGATTCTCAATGGCATCAACTCAATCAACTTCTTCAGGTAATTCTCTGAAAAATGTCATCAATAAAGTTGGTAATGTACTTTCATCTGTTTCAGTTAGTTCAATTGAAGATACAAGTGAATCAAATACCCCATATAAATCTGTTCAACCTGGTGTTGTTGGTGAACAACAACAACAGAAGAGATTCAGTACATCAAGTTCAATTTTAGAAAATCAATCTTCACCATTACCAATGAGAACTTATAGTCATGCTAGTACATCTTCAACAAATATTAATATCAATACAGCATATCATTCAAGAGATAAAGAATATACAAAACATACATCACAACAACAACAGCAACAGCCACAAGTTTTACATAGAAAACCTTCATTACAACCACCATCATTATTGGAACCACATCAATCATCACAAACATTGTCTTCTTTATCAAGAAGAAAAGAATCAGATGCTTCAAGTATGATTAGTACTTCAAGTATAAGAACTAGTAAATCAAGATTTAGACTGTCTTCAATTTTTTCAAGTAAAAAAACTGAACTTGGTAATAATGGTAATGGTAGTGCTATTGCAAATGATAATGAATCAATTAGATCTCTTAGAGGTAAATCATCATTTAGTGATATGAGAAAATCAGTTTTATCAATGTCACCAAGTAAACATAATTTATTTAGATTAGCAAGAAAAGATAGTTTAAATGATTTAAATAAAAAATCAAGTTTGGATAAAACAATGATTTCATTACCAAAACCTGATACAAATTCAAGAGAAAAATTGAAAACAAGATTAAGAAATAGTTCATCGATTATTTCAATTAATTCTGTTATTTCAAGACAACCAACTAATCAAACAATGGTTTCTTCTGCAAATTCAAACCCAACCACTATAATGACTTCAAATGAATATGATTCTAAACAATTGAATAAATTAGTTACATTAACAAGTTATCCAGAAGTTTTAAATTTTAATAATTATATTTCAGTCTCTTCAAATGCAAATAATCAAGTTTTAATTAAATTTGCCGAAGCTTCATATAGTGAAGTTTATCTGTTGAAAAATTATCAAACTAATGAGATTTTAAAAATTTTCAAAATCATACCTTTTGGTGATGGTAATTTTGAACAACCTTCAATCGATAATGTTATTCAAGAATTGAAAATTACACAAAAATTAAGTACAATAGATGGATTTATTAAATTGAATGAAGCATCTGTTGTTAAAGGTAGTTATCCAAGATTATTATTAAAGTTATGGGATGATTTTAATGAACTGAAAGAAAGTGCAAATTATAGACCTGAATATGATCAAGATCAAAAATATTTAATTATGGATCTAGAGTATGGTGGTATTGATTTAGAAAAATTTCAAATTAAATCATGGGAACAATCTTCTAAAATTTTTTGGGAAATTGTTAAAACTTTACAAAATGCTGAAGAGAAATTCCAGTTTGAACATAGAGATTTACATTGGGGTAATATTGTTATTAAAGAACAAGAGTTAAATAAAGCACCAATTTCAAATGAAGATGAAGATATTGAAGATGTTATGAGAGATTTATCAATTATTGAAGAAGAACATGGTAATGAACAACAGTCAGCACAAGGACTTGAAGTCAAATTAATTGATTATACACTTTCAAGACTGAATGGTGATGAAAATGATGAACAAGATGTAATTTTCACTAGATTAGATCATCAAGATTTTTTCAAAGGATGTGGAGATTATCAATTTGATATCTATAGATTTATGAGAAATGAAATTAAATCAATTCAAAAAAGTTCAAGTTCAAAAGATGAAATTGATTGGTCATTATCAAGTTTTAAAAATAATTTGTATTGGCTACATTATTTATTAGATAAATTATTATTTCATAAAAAAGATTATATAACTTCAAATCATAATTCTAAAGATGATCAATATTATAAAAATTTACAATATGTTTATAAATCATTAGATCCAAGAAGAAAGAAATTAAATAATGATTCAATTCCAAATTTCCATAAATCAATTAATGAATCATCACTTTCAAATAAATCAAATAAAAAGAGACAAGTTGTTTATTTCCAAGATTTCCAAAATTGTTCTGATGTGTTGAAATTTGGTGAATTTTATGAATTATTATGAAGATATATATGAATATAACTACAAATTAGTTAACCAGTGAAGAGCAAAAAAAACAGACAATTTATTATTATTTTATGTGTGTATATAAAAAGGGACTTTTATAAAACATATTTTGTTTTTCAAATCATAAGTACCATTATTTTACTTTTGTAGAAACATCTTTAGATTTTAATGAAGGATCAATTGGTTTTTCCAATTCATTTGAACTGGTTAAAGTTTTTTGAATGAATAAAATCCCACCAATAAATGCATTTAGTAAGAAAATCCATTGAGATAAACCAACACTACCAATTGGAGAACTTGGCCAACTTAAAGATTTTTCAATAAACCAAGGGAAAATATCATTTGGGATCCAAAAAATAACAGATTTTCTATGCCAAACTCTGAAAAAAACCATTGGTAACCAATAACTAATTTGTAAAAATCTTGAAATTATTGATTTGAAACTTGTTGAAGAATTGTTAATTTCTAATTCTAAATCTTCAATTTTTTTGTTTAATTCATCAGTTTTACGATTCAATTTTGTCCATTTAGCATATTGATCTTGTGGTGATATAGAATTTTTATTTATTTGAACAGTTCTTTTTTCAGATTTATATGAATTTAATAATTTAATTTGTGAATTTGATGAAAATTTCAAATATAATAACCATATTGATTCAATGATATTATCTTTCCCATAGTGGGATAGTAAAGAGTTGTATGCTAGTAATGTAAGCACGGATAATAATAGAGTATATGGTTCCATCTTTGTCCTAATATCTGAGTACTAAACCGTGAACAAAAGATATCAAAACATCTCAAAAGTTGAGTTTATTATACTTTTCTGAATCGTTCAACAAAATAAAAACTTTACACGATGAAAATTGACAGACTTGTTTCGCGAATTTTAAAAGAAGCCAAAAAAATTCGCGAATTGGACAAAAAAAAATTAATTTTGTATGGCAAAAATAAAATAATGAATTGAAAATTGTTAAGGAAGAATTGAAATTTAGAAAGTTTTGATAGTTTTATCGTACTTTATTATACTTTTTTAAAAAGGATTCTAAGAGGGAATACTTGAATATTCAAAGGCTTGTGATTTGTGATTTGTGGTTTTTTCATTGTGCTTAAATTGGTGTGTTTTTAAAAGGATGTCAGATAATAACAGTTCAGAAGAGCTAGAGACTTGGATCAGTAATTTCTGTGGTCTTTATGGTCATGATTATTTTGTGGAAGTTGCACCAGAATTTATAGAGGATGATTTCAATTTAACAGGATTATCATCAATAGTACCATTTTATAGAGAAGCATTAGATATGATATTGGATTTTGAACCTGATAAACCTATAAGTGTTAGTGATTTACCATTGGTACAACATAGTGCTGAATTATTATATGGATTAATTCATTCAAGATTTATATTGACAAAACAAGGTTTACAACAAATGGTTGATAAATATGATAAAAAGCAATTTGGTGTTTGTCCCAGAGTTTATTGTGAAAGTATGCCATTTTTACCAATAGGAAGACATGATCAACCTGGTGTGGAAACTGTTAGATTATATTGTCCTTCATGTTTTGATTTATATTTACCAAATAGTTCAAGATATTTGAATATTGATGGTGCTTTCTTTGGTACTACATTCCCTGGATTATTTATTAAAATATTTAGTGAAATTGATCAACAAATTAAATTAAGAAATAAAAAACAATATGAATTGAAAATATTTGGATTTAAAATTAATGAAGAAAGTCAATTTGGTTCAAGGATGAAATGGTTAAGAAAATTACCAAAAACTGAAAAAGAATTTGAAGAATTGAATAATTGTCAATATGAAATTCCATTAGATGATGAAGAAGATATTGAAGATGAAGATGAAAATATAGATGATGATCAAGAAGAAGATGATGATGACGTTGAAATGAAATGAATCAAATGAAGTATGTGTTGTATAATTTAATCCTACAGAGAGACTGTGTATATTAGCTTAATTTTATCAATATGTTGATTATTTAATGATATATATATATACAGGTGTAGAACATAAATTGGGGTATATAAATTCAATGTGTTAAGTTGACTGGTTTTCCAGGTTCCCAATTCTTAATTGCATTATCTATATTCCACCAATATTTTAATCTTATAGTTTCCACTGCAGCATCTTCATAATTTTGATCTTTAAAGAATTGTTCTAAAGAATCTTCACTTGATTCAATTCTTTCATCATTTTCTTCTTTTAATTTTTCTAATTCTGTTTCATTACTAACATTTTCTAAATTTTCATGAATATCTAATATATCAAATAATAATTCATGATCTTTTGTACTATATTTTTTGGAGATTTCATCTTGTTTTAAATCAATCCCATTTAATTCCAAGATATGTTGAGATCTTGCTAAGGAATCTTTTAAAGTAGAATAAGCCTTATTCAACAATGAAGATGTAGAATCATCATATTTCAATTCAGAACCATGATCAATATTTGAATCTGGATGAGATTCTTGTTGTAATAATCTATATTCTTTTCTTAATGATTTTTGATCCACTCTAAAACGGATTTGAGCATTAGGAAACGTCTTAGGGAACAATTGAAACAGGTTTGTAGGAGCCCTTCTGCTCACCGTGGAGCTCATGAGTCTCTTGAACAGCATTTTTGACCTCTTTTTATTTGGTTTGGATATCAGATGGTCAAAATTACCAGTGTTTCTGGTTCAAATTTGGTGATGTTTTTCTGGGTCTTTTTTCTAACAACTCCGTTGATTTTCTGGTAATAAAACATCAACGAAAACAATTTCGATTTGGTGGCAAATATTCAAAACTTACAAAATGTTGGAAATCAGAGAGAAATTGATCCTTTCAAGGCCATTGTATCTCAAAGACGACGACTGTGGGTATTGTCACCATAAAAAATCACAAAAAGAGGCCATTTCTGTGCAAAGTTGGAGTGATTATTATGCCTTGAATCATCAAAATCAAACAGAAACACCACCATCCATCTCAATTGGATTCCAAGTTGAGAATATGACAGTGGAGCATTATGATCAGTTGATTAACAGAGGATTCAGGCGGTCAGGTACGTTTTTGTACAAGCCAGATATGTTGCGTGGTTGTTGTCGAATGTATACGATTAGAACCAATATGGATATGTTTAAATTGACCAAAGAGCATCGTCAAACTGTGAACAAGTTTAACAAAAGGATTGGTATAGAGGGTGGTCAAGATGTTAAAGGGAAAAATGGTTATGATTTGATGAAAGAATTGAGGAAAATGGATGATTCTGGGAAACTTGTAATTAAATTTGAACCAAGTAAATTTACAAAAGAGAAATATAAATTATTTACCAAGTATCAAAATCATGTTCATGATGATTATAAAACAAGTGAGAAGTCATTTAAACGTTTCCTTTGTGATACTCCATTTTCTCAGAATGATGCTGTGATCAAAGATAATAAAGTTCTTAAATTTGGTGCAACTCATCAATGTTATTATTTAGATTCAAAATTGATTGCAATTGGATTCTTAGATATTTTACCAAGTGGAGTTTCATCAATTTATCTAATTTATGATCCTGATTATAGAGATTTAGCAATGGGGAAAATTAGTGGATTAAAAGAAATGGAATTAACTAAGAAATTAGGTCTAGATTATTATTATTTAGGTTATTTCATTGAAGATTGTCCCAAGATGAATTATAAAAGAAAATTTGGTGGTGAATTATTAAATTTAACAGATTTAACATATCATAAACTTGATGATATCTCTGATTATATCACAAATGGGAAATATTGTGCTATAAATTCTAAAAATGAAAATATAGTGGAAGATCTTTATGGTATTAATAGTAAAGAATTCCTTAAGGCTAAAGAATATAGTGATAAATGGCCAGGTATAAGTTATTCTGATGTGGATAATTCAGTATTGATCACTAATTCAGATGATAATTCAACTCCATATGATATTCCAACAGTCATACCTGGTGTAACATCATTAGAAACTTTATTTGAAAATTGGAATACAAATCAAATCAAATCTTTAGTTTTTGCAGATGGAATGATTAGACCTGCAATTTATGATTTAGAAACTGCAACAATTAGAAAAATTTTGATTGATACAATTAGAATATTAGGTCAAGGTTTAGCTAATGATGCAATTATATTTATTTAATGAAACTTGTATATAGAAGTGTATGTTGTTTTGTTTTTACATGAATCTTGTTTAGATAATCTACAAAGTTGTAATTTAGCATATTTCATGTATATTCAATTGATCTTAAATATGATCACCTACATTAACCTTCTTCTATTAATAACCCGAACTTCTTTAATTTCACATTGATATCTTTTCTTCAATTCAATATTTTTCTTTTCTTCTTTAATCCTTTTTTCCTTCATTTCATTCTCCATTTGAACTTTCTTTCTCTTTAATTCAACTCTTTGCAATTCATATTCATCATGTTTTGCAATCATTTGATTTCTAGTTCCAACTTTATCAAGTTTATACCTTTTTCTACCTTTATCATCATAACCTGCAATAAGTGGAACATCAAAATTCAAACTTGAACTCTTGACATATACATCACCTGGTTTATCATCATATAATCTCATATATTTATCATATTGAGAACTTGATAAATATTGTTCATTTTGTCTACCCCACCAACTTGCAAATGAATATTTTAAATTTTTCAAGTATTCATCTTTATTATCAATTAATGGATTTGGATTTGGATAAATTTCATCATCAAATTTAGAAAATTCATTTCTTCTTTTCAATGCTGAATATAATCTATGCATACCACTTGAATATGTATAAAGATCAACTTCTATAGATTTATTTGGGTTTTGTAAATTCTCAATTAAAACTTTATATAAAAGTTCTTTAGAAACACTAGGATCTGATATGATTAAACAATAATCATCTTCTGTCTTACCATCAAGACGATGTTCAAATTCAACAAGATATACTTTCAAATTTTGCTTTCTCCAAAGTGAATATTCATCATTAAATTCTAGAAATTCTTTGTCATTTGAAACTGGTGTGGTACGTTGAGTTCCCATTATTTGTGACATAAGTTGATCATCAACATCATTTATTGATCTTGATTTCAACTCTTTATTCTCGAAAGTATTGAAACAAAATGCATCAATCTCTAAATTTTTAGCACTGATTAAGAAATCTCTATAATATTCAAGAGTTCCAAAATCTTCAATCTCTTGAGAAGATGAAAGATTTGTATGATTCCCACAATTATGACAAGTATGATTCTTAGTCATAAGATCAGCAATACGTAAATCCAAATGACGGTCTTCTAAGTTTTGGAAATCTTTAGTAACAATCATATGTTGATATTTTTTAATCTTAGCGCCATAATTATTTGAATTTTGGTTTATATATTCTTCAACTTCACCTTCTTGTGTAACTAAACCTTTTTCAAACTTCCACATCATTTCATTAATTGCCAATTCATCTAATGGTCTTGTACTGAAAGCACGAACATAAGGAGAATCTGAAACAACATTAAACATTAAATCATCACCTTGATAAAGATTTATATCATGTTTTTTAATATTTTCAGATGCATATTCTTGGAAAGTAAATGAACTATCTTTAATATAATTTTCATCTTGACTAGATCTTTGGAAAATTTTATATTTGGATAAAATATTGGTTGAAATATCTTTTGGTGCTCCATATACTCTATCATCTAATTTATCAAATCCACAAAGTTTTTCATAATCATGATGATGGAAAATTGGACGTTGATATTGTTTCATAATTTGATCATCATAGAATAAATCACCAAGGTATAAAGTTGCCTTTTTAGATGCTTTATGATTGAAAAGTTTTCTAATCTTCTTGTTATTAATTCTTGGATATAAAGAATTTAAAATTGAATTATGAGATCTTTGATTATTTCTTAAAATTGTAATAGTTTTACCACCTGGTAGCATAACTGATCTTAAAGTCATATTGGTAACAATTGTTGATTTTCTAGGGTACACATAATGATCTGAATCTTCTGAATCGTCATCTTGAGAGACTTGGGCCTCATTGACAAGTTTTCTTAATTTACTTAATGAAGATGTATAATCAGTTTCTTTCACAATAAGGGTATTCTCCTTAAATTTGTTCAAATTATAATCTCTTGATTTTGTTAATGAAGTGTCATGACAATAATAACATTGTGAAACTGTTCCTAACTTATCATAAAACCTTGAAATGAAATCAAATCCTGCATCAATAGATTTATTTGTCAAGTCACGAATTTCTTTAGCATCTTTGGAAACGAAATCATGAGGTGATTCATCATCTGCAGTTTGAATATAAAATGCAGATGCTCCATGTGATAAAGTTCTTCTTTTCATCAAATGTTGAGTGACTTTAACTAATTTTGTTAATTGAGGTAAAGTTTCATCTTTAAACCCATTGGAAAGTTCTTTATAACTAAACTCATCATTAGCAAAAACAATATAAAACCCTTCATCTGTAATGTATCTTGAAGTTCTTGATTTATAATAAGTTTTTAAAGGTAAATCAATTTTTTCCTTCACTTGTTTTGAAGTTGGTCTTACTATTGGATGGAAAAATGGATCATTTCCCAAAAGTGTGGAAGCTTTTTTCAATTGATAAAAATTGTTATAATTCCATGAATAATCATATTCATAATATTGTGGATTTGTCATTTCGTCATCTTCAACTTCACTTTCAACTTTTTGTTGATCATTTTTAAACGTTTTTAGCTTTTCGTCCAAATATTTTTCCGCTTCTGAAGTGCTAGCTGCTTGATACTCGTTAATCCTTGGAAGGTAAGTACCCTTATATCTAGGTGTTATTCTAGATTCAGGAACTTCCTTTGGTTTTCTAATGTTTCTAGCGATTTTTTCTAAGAGTTCTTGATTTGTTAATCTATTAGCTTCCATTTTCTCAATATTTTGTATTATTTATTGATGAAGTATGTGAAAAAAAAAAGTAAGATGAATAAATCTAAATCAAAGGAATTCAACCCCATATTTATATTTTTGACCTTGAACAGAAAATATCATATTTGATAATAACTCATTATACTGAACAGAAAATAATAAGACCTCAACATGAGAACAGCACCAATTTTTGACACTAAACCGCGCAAATTTCAGCCTCAAGCAGATACTACCCTTCTAACATCAATCATTGACGATACCAACCACCTTTTAGCTCTAAAAAACAACATTTTGTTCCAAAAAAATACAAATCTTTATCAAATTGATGCTTATCATCTTAAATAAAGTTTAGTCTTTCGCTAATAAATGCTTTGTAAAACGCATTCGCGAGTAGTTAAGAAACTTTTTTGACGCGCGAAAACTTTAATTTTATACGGGGAACTAAAAAGAACTAAAGTTTGATTTGATTTACATTTGTTTTAATATAAAAAGGGTTTCCCATTGAATTTTTGATTTTTATTTTGATTCAGTGGCAAAATGATATCTTATTCAAGTGCTATTTGAAGGTCAAATTGTGCTATACTGGCTGGTTAAAGGGTAGCGCCCTGTTGGAAATAGCGTGTTTTGATTGGTGATTGGTTACTATAGACTGGGATTTTGGTTATCTTGATCTCTGTATAAGCGGTTAATTTTGTTTGGTGTGAAGTTTCTCAAATGGCTTCAATTCATGAAAACTATTTCTTTCCATTGGAAATATGGGAAAATGTGGTGGATCAATTGGATAAAAATAGTTTAAAGACAGATGAAGATATATTCAATCTTACCCAGGTTAATAAAGAGTTTAGACTGTTATTCACAGGTAATTTATTCTGGCGTGGTAGAATTGAGAAGCTATACTATAAGAATCCCACGGACCCATTCCTTGATGTTCCAGCTGAAATCAATAAGCTAGACAGCAACTTGTTCAAGCATGGCATGGAAAGGTATTATATTGAAAAATCAATCAGAATGAGAGTTTTGACTTTAGTCGCATCAGGGACACTAGATAAACTTGATGATGCTGATGATGATGATATTTTAGGAGCTTATTTCACAACTTATATTTCACCAATTCTCAAGCATGGTCATTATACTATTCATGCAATGAAAAAAATACGTACAAAGTTTGATGATGAAGATTTCATCCATTTTTTTCTTTTGCCAATTCAACATATCATAGTATATAAAAGGTTGAAAAGAGATAAATACATTTCTGACCCAAAAAATTTAGAGCTTTGTAACGATGCAGAAAATGTATTATTTGAATTGAGCTATAGTGATCCAGCTTTTGAACAATTATGTTTTTATAGGAAACATGTTTTGCAAAAAACTTATGATCAAGTTAGATTTGATTCAAAATTTGACTCTAATGATCCCTTGGGCATTATTACACTTATTCAAAAGCATCTAACCACATGTATTGATTATCATAAGTATACTGGGAAATTATGTGTTGAAAGCTTGTCATTACTAAGAGTCTATTCTGGGGAGGCAATTGGAGCTTCATTTATTATAATTGCAATAATTCAAAAAATTGCTAAACAATTCAATATCAAGACAAAATTATCAGTGAATTTGCGCTGTTTAATCATCTGTGATTCAAAATTCGGAAAATTCAAGCCTTATTTAAAATTTACAGATTTATTAGGTTGTACAATTCAATCAGGTCTAATTCTCCAAGGTAAAGCAAGTTCAAGTTATGATGTGATACCATTAAGAAATACAGTAATTTTCTATAAAACATTGAAACTAATGATTGATAAAACTCAACCTTTGAAAGAAGCATTACCAGCATTGGTTTTTGGTAGAAATAGAAATGTTGATAAGAAAGAAATCTATCCAAAATCCAAAATTGAATGTCACAAAGATCTTTCAATAATGATTGAGCTTTTCTTTTATCGTGACAAAATACGAGGTGAAACTTTATTAGATAGAGTCATGGATATGGTTACTCAAAATGATTCATTTCTTGCTTTTGAATACTTATTTCCAGGAATGATTTCAATGGCTCTTCATCATTTTAATGCTACTAGACATCCAAGTTACTTTAAACGTACTTTACGGAATTTGAAAAGATTTTGTTTGAAATTGCTTAGAAGAAATAGATCAGCAGTAAGGCTCAGAACTACATAGTCATTATTTCAAGTGTCCATGATACCTTAGCATTATGAGAGAAAAAAGAACCATACACTGTTTGCTTCAACAATGTGCTAATTAGATAAGAATTTGGATCATAATCAATTAACCAACACCAAAGGTCCAGAATTACATATTACAACCAGCTAATTATCCTAATCAAAACCACACATTTTTCAAATACACAACTTCATATTTATCAATATGAGTAGCTCTTCGAGTTATTAGTTTTTCTATATTGTTGTCATGTGCTGCATTATGCATGATTTGAGATCTTGGTTATTGTCCAAATTTGGCATGTCATAAGCGCGAAAAGTTAAGAAATTATAGATCTTTCAATTCCCCCTGAATTTTTTTTTTGATCTCTTTCATTTTTTTCCATTATTTCAATTGATCTGAGAGTCATAGATTTGTTTGGATTCTGCTGTCGTTAGAAGTCAATTGGTTTTGTCGGGTTTGATCTGTTTTGGTTGGTTTGCAAGTTCATTTGATCTTTGATTTATACAGGGCGGCTAAATTAGTTTGGTGCTTATAGACTGTTGATATATTGCAAGATTCAAGAGTTGGTAGCTTGGATTTAGAGTCGATACAATGGCATCAATTAATCAAAATTATCATTTCCCATTAGAAGTTTGGGAAAACATTGTATCAAAATTAGGGAAAATATCAAAATCACAACAAGAAGTTGATGAAACAATTTTCAATTTAGGTAAAGTTAATAAAGAATTTAGAGATTTATTTACAGGTGATGATTTTTGGTATGGATTAATTAAATCTAGATATTTTCAAAATTTATCAGATCCTTTCCTTAATGTATCATCTGAGATTTCCAAATTGGGTAATCTTTATGAATATAGTATGAAAAGATATCAAATTGATAAAGAAATTAGATTTAGATTCAATACATTAGATTCATCACCACAAATTGTTCCAAACGAATATCTTAATGATCATCCAGACTTGAAATTTGATAAACTTGAACGAACTCTATTTTACAAATTCTATTTATCAAACATTTTGAAATACAAAGATTTATCAATTGAAATTATAGAAGAGATGATTCCAAAGTTGAAAGAAAAAGATATATTCAATGAAGCCAATTGGTTATTAAGTACCGTTAGACGTATTAGAGTATATGATGGAATTTTCCAAGCTCAAAGAGATCAAAATAAGAAGAACAAAATTAGATTTTTCAAAGATGCAGAAGGTGCATTATTTGATTTAAGTCATATTGATCCATGTTTTGAAAAATTAAAATCAGTTAGACGTGCAAAATTACAACAAATTTATAAAAAAGTTAATGTTAATCCAGTTTTAGATACAAGAGATATAATTGGTACTATATTGATCATTAAAGATGCAGTTAAAGATTCATTATATTTCGAAGATCTTCATGGAATTGGTAATATTGAAAGTGTTTCTTTATTAAGAGTTTATGCATGTGAATCATCAGGTTTCCATATTGTTCAACTAGCAATTATTCAAAAAATTGCCCGGGAATTTGGTATTAGAACTATAATTCCTAATTCTAAATCAGTATTAATCATTAATGATCCTAAATATGTTGGAGATAAACCATATTTAAAAATTCATTTAACTCATATGACACAATTAATGGAACCACCTTTACAAAATTCAATTATAATTAGACCTGGTGATGATAATTATGATAAATCTGAATTGGTCCCTAAGAGATCAGATAAAGAATTTTATGATTTTTTAATTGGTAAAGTTGATTCATTACCACCTTTGATTCAATTACGTAGATTGAATCTTGCAATATTTAATGATACTGATGCAAATGAATCTAAAAAATCAACGGTTTATCCAATATCAGGTGATTGTTTAGATAAGAATTTGTTTTTATCAATTACAAGATTTTGTTTAAGTTTTGATTTGAAAATGAAAAATAAAGATACTTCACAAAATCAAGTATTAGAATTTGTTAATAAGATGAGTTTTGGTAAAAGTGAGGATGACATTCATTATGATATGAATTATTTAATGGAATTATTACAAATGAATGGGAAATTTGAATTACCAATAGATTATAGTATGCTTAAAGTTAATCCCAAAACAAATAGATTTACAATTGAATCAATTAAAGAATTTAGAAAAAAATGTGATGAAATTAAAAATGCTTATTATGAAAAGAAAGATAAAGGTACTTTTAAAGAAGGTCGTATAGTCATAGAATTGGATATTTGAATCAATCAAGGTCTTATGTTGATTGAATATCTATAAATTAACATACAACACAACAATTTACTAGCTAATTAATATAACAATCAAACAAATGCTATTTAATATTCCCACTGTTTACACAGAGCTTATAAACCAGTGGATCTTGCTACAAAACCTGAGGTATAACTTCAATACAATCATTCAATATATTCACTAGTTGTAGATTCCAACCAATGACACAATCTACTCAGTATAAATCATGAGGACTTGAGTCATTATTCCCATATATGAATTGAGTTTCAACTTCTCATCCGATCCACAGTAACCTAATCCTAAATAGTAAATCAAATCAACCTGTCAAAGATAAGGATTTAAATCTGGGGTGGCACAACAAGACACAAGACACAATTGGAAACACCCGGAGTAACAAATCACCACAAACTACACACATTATACAGACAAATCACAATTAAACACGTAGCCTATCCAATGATAACCACTAAATATAACCCCATAATTATTCAATATCACACAATTGTTTACTTATTACCCAACATTTACAATCCTTGCTTATCTGAAATTGGGAACTGTGTGTGACTTCTGACTCATAAAAGCCCCGCCTACTTCTAGGCTGACGTTCTTTTAATCTTTACTACGGCTCTGATAGAAACTAGGCAGAGTTGCTAGACAGAGCTCTTGGAAGGTTCTAGACAGAGCTGGGCAGAGCTGGGCAGAGCACACACCGCGAAGGAAAAGTCACGTCATGTGCTTCCCGTACCAAAAATTGTCTCCTATCTTGTGATTTTAACTTTCCATATTTTATACCGATTTTGAATTTTGTATGGGATCTGGAAATGTATATAAAGAGATGGAAATCACCCCTTTTTCTGTTAGTTATTGGCTTTAGATTCTATATCTACTCATACAATTTATTTTGTACTGAATATTAAACAAAGCTTACAACTACAACAACAACAACTACAAACAACAATCAATCAATCATGACTAGAACTCAAAAATGGACTCATCATGAAAAAAAAGCAGAACCACATATGTTTACTCATAATGGACATCCAGATCAAAATCCAACAAAGACTAAAAAAAATGGTGCAGGTAAAGGTAATTGGGGTTCACCAGGTGATGAAATTAATGATTTAATTGATGATGGAGAAATCCCACCAGTTTTCAATAAGACTAGAAGAGGTTCAAATTCAAGTGCTCATGAATTAAAATTTGATGCTGTTCAACATTTCCATGATCATATTGATGAAGATGATGAAGAAGAATATGAAGATGATTATGAATCTAATGAAAGTGATGAAAGTAAATGATAGATGATGATGACAATGATGACGATATGATACACCGCATGTGCATAGTTATAACTATATTTTTTGCATGGTTTGATAGATCTTGTATATGATCGAATGAATGAATTATTTTATACTCAAATTGTAGACGTTTAAATTAAAGTGTAATTTGATCTCCTGATGTTTATCTTATCACTTATCAATTTTTACCCCGGAATTTTGAAATTCTAGAATTTACATGATATTTCCGCATTGGGTATATTTCCTAATTAAGTAACCATTATACTTTCATATATAGCTTAATTTAATATAATGGTCATTGTCAAGAGCAAAGTTATCAAAGTATATAAAGCTACCAAATTCATTTTCAAAATATTTAAATATATGATTTAATTGAAGTGATCCAAACTTTTGTGTTAAATATAATTGTTGAAATTAAATTCATATTCATCAACTGTACTTACAATTTTCAGATAATTGATTTATATTCATTTACTTTCTACGTTGGATCATATTGATAATATGATCAGATATAATTCATGCATCAATTTTGTCGTAAAATGAGCTGTTTAAACTATTAATTTGTGTTGAGTTTGATTTTTTTAATGATCCATATATTTATATTATCATAGGATTACTAAACTAGTATTTATACAGACGTTTAGGATTCCAATTGACCATATAGATCATTCATGGATATTTTATACATAAGATTCTTAATGATTGAATGAGATTCAAGTTGTTTACAATACTTGGTCAAATCATTTGAATTTTAATATACATTTTTTTGCTGAACAGAACTAGTTCTAACTAGATACTGTAGCTATAAATTATATATATATACATTAAACTCGTGATCAAACTAATTCTCTAATTAATGAACGCATGGTATATAGCGTGTATACGTGATGTAAATTTATAATCCATATATGTATATTGAATATAATTCAAGCAGCTCATGATGCATAAAAAGTTGAATATAAAACTGTGTTTATCTAAAATGTAATATAAACCTTTATTTGATCATTGACGAATCACTTACAATATTTTTGATCTTTACAAGCAAATTCTGGATGATAATTGAACTTTTTCTTATTAGTTCTACAATCATTAATATTTTTGACTTTACTGCACCAGAAAGAACAATAAGCAACAGCATTATCATAACTAAATTTAGGTCCACCTGCATAGTAATGTCTAATACAAGTATTGAGATCATTACCAAAACAAAAACCACTTGCTTCAGTGTCAAAGCATAATTTATAATAGTACTTGTTACCAGCTAATACATCAGTGGAATTATCAGCATATGAACCTTCAGCAAGATCTGGAGTAGCATCTGGAGTATTGGAAGCAATTGGTGATGCGATAATACCAGAAAGTAATAAACCTTGAGTTAAAATTGTTGAGAACTTCATGATATGATTGATGATACGTAATTGATCTAGTTAATTTGATACCCAAAAGCTCATTTGAAACTTCAAAGTCTTCAAGGAACAAAGATTAATAACCACTATTTATATATAATTCATCAAATTAAAGTATATCAAATTTAAGGCATCTTAATAAATTTGACAAATAGTATGATGCACATATGATGTACTGATATATAATCGCAAAAGCTTCATGCGTATGATTCACAGTAGACTAATGAAAATCAATCAATCAAATCCTAGTCCAAAGTTCAAACTTCAAAGGTTATTTTAGATCATTATCAACAATGATTAAAACTCTTTGCCGTTATAATCAAGTTCAATCACCTTATAACTTTTTACGTATCTGTAAAAGTCTCATCTAAATCTTGAATTTTAGGCACATGGTTCAACCACCTAGGAAAGCATAATAGATTTTGATCTTCCAAAACATAACATAACATAGCTTAATCAACGATCAATCAAAAGATCATCGAATACCATGCACAGGTGAGCTTCAAGAGCCGATTTGATAATCGGATTTCCACGTATAAATAACCATATAATTAGCACTTGGATAATTTACGTCTAGTATATGTCAAGCTGAGCCAAACATTCTGGTTGAGGATTAACTGCTCTCATTCAAAGTACTTGCAGGCAGCTAGTTAATTGATAACAAAAATTTAGTTTGCAAAATTCATAGAAAACTTTATTCATGATCTAAAAGATTATACTTATGCTGGGGTTAAGAGCACTGGTCATTAAAGAGGTTTTCAAAGATTAAAATTCGCTTCGGTGGTTTTATAGAAGCTGATCTTTATATTTTGCTAAATTGATTAATACCTTTTTGATTGGGTCATTGGTTCCAAAATTCAACATAACGTCTTTTGCTCTAGGAATTGAACCATTGGGTTTGAATATATAATTGTACAAACATATATTTCCTATTTTTTGATTATGGATTTGATATTGAGTTGAAATTATATTCATTCAGTCCAAAAATTATCAAGATATAAATAAGGTCTTTAAAATGATTGGATGATATTCAAGTTGTTTACAATACTTGATCAAATCATTTAAATAATTCTAATAAACATTTTGAGTTAAATACGATGAGTTTTGAATTTTTTTTTGTAGTTATATAAGATTGACTATATGTATCAAACTAGCTGTCGAGGGTTTTACTTTGAACGAATATATAATGTGAATAAGGTAATATAAATGTATAATTCATATATGTTCATTAAGTATGATACAAGATATTATGATGGGGTATATAAAATTGAGTATAAAACAATGAAATAATTTGAGCTCATATTTGATGTTCTATGCTTCAACTTAAAACGTAACACAGCAATCTGTGATACAAAATCATGAACAATTAATTAACAATATTTATGACCATTACAAGCCCATCTTGGATGAAAATTGAACTTTTTCTTGTTAGTTCTACAATCATCAATAGATTTGATTTTGCTGCACCAGAAAGAACAATAAGCAATATTCTCTTCTTTATTATGTGAAACTGCATTTTTATTCATATAATCAACGCAACTTTTATGATTTTTACCAAAACAAAATCTGCTTTGATTACTTTCAAAGCAAAGTTTAGACTTCAATCTACCAGTTAATACATCAGTAGCATTATCAGAATTTGAACCTTCAACAACATCTGGAGCAACATCTGAAGTAAAAACAGTTGGTGAGGCAATAATACCAGATAATAATAAATCTTGAGCTAAAACCACCGAGAACTTCATGATATAAGATCTATAGTTGATTTGATACCCGAATATAAAAAGCACATTCAAAACTTCAGAGTCCTTTCAATCGAAAAATGAGGAATAATATCACCTTTTAAATTCTCTACATCAGACTCCAGTCACTTTAATAACTTCCACAACATGATGCTCTGATCATATAATCGCAAACCTTGCATGCATGTATCTATCGCTTTAATGAAAATCAGTACTATGAAATCAATGTTTAAAACTCATCATCTTCACTTGGCTTTTGGCTTTGTACGTATCTGTAGGATTAAGCTCATCTAAAGCTCCTTGAAATATAAATCACCTAGCAAAACATAATAAGTATTATTGAATGAAGGGATTCAAAAGCTATTAATTTGTTTGACAATAAATGAATTAAGGCAAGAGTAAAAAGATCACCGAACCTCCCTCATATATGAGCTTAAGAACCGATTTGATAATCGGATTTCGATCTCGTGGTAAAGAACACTGAACCATCTGCTTTAGTCTATGTCAAACTGAGCCAAACTGAGCTTTTTTTTTCATTAATATTGTTAAAAACTAACTATCAAATACTATCAAATACTATCAAATATGAAGCTTAAATACTTAATAGTAAATCATAAATGTTACGAGCACTGGTCATAGAATGTGTTAAAAAAAAATTCAAGTATAAACTAAAAGTTACCATTTTACAAACGATAGTGATTAGCCACAATTTCATTTCTTCTGGATTGAGGTGATAACCCTTTAATTTAATGTCCTCAGTGTCCAACCTTGATTTATACTAGCTAGGGGCTTTAATTTCTGATCAAAGGGTCCTTATGTTGGTTTCTATTAGTGTGACTGTTTGGTATGTTTCCTTTTACTTCAGCTAATATTTAATACTAGATTTATTATTGAAGTAGTATTATATTGAAATTCAGATTAACAGTGCTAACATTACACATAATATCTAGGTGTCTCTGAATTTAGGCCTCATTAGTCTTCTGACAAATTTTACTTGATATAATGGTTACCAAGTTTCTGATTATATTAGCTAGTATCATTGCATAATATTAGATCTGCTTCTCATGGATTACAAAGCTGTATGGTCATATAGAAGAACTGGTATCTTATTATTTGTATTGGTTTAATACTTACACTATTCTTTGATTATGGATTTGATACTGAGTTGAAATTATATTCATTCAATCCATTGACATCATTGAATCTATTCTTTTTAAAATCAATATATCTACATGTAGTCAATATCATAATCTACACTTCATTTCAAAATCATAAACTTTTCTATATTAAACTTTTCATAAATCAAATACCTTTATACAAAACACAAACAAAACAAAAGCAAATCAAAGCAACAAACAACCCAATCATCTCAACTAACTCATATTTTTTTCAAATTCATGTTTAACCCCCTTTTTACGTTGTCTTTCAATATATAAATCATAATGATTTTGAATTCTTTTACTTATTCCTCTATGATTTAAATAATCAAATTCATTTGAAAAACCTTCATCAACTTTATATTTTTCTAATATATTAAAATTTGATAAATTTTGATTAATTGAAACTCCAATGATTACATCATCTATGAATTTTGATTGTAATACACATAATGATCTTTGAATTAAATCCATACTTGTATTTTCAATCCCATCAGAATAAATACCAACTAATAACTTATAACCTTTAGATTTTAATTCTTTCAAGACACTTATATGATAAGGATTAAATAAATCAAAAGAACCTTCAATATAAATATATTCTTGATTTGCTGGCCAATCTTTTTTTTGAAATAATGATTTTAAATCACCTTGATCCAAGTACCAAACATTATTATATAAAGTTTTCCCATCAATATCCGTTGCAAAATCTCTAATCAAATTTTTAAATTCTTTCAACATTGATTGAATATCTTTAATATAATGTTTATCAGTTGGTAGTAATAATCTATTAATTAAATCAGTTGTACTAACACCTTCAGTTCTCTTAACTAGTTTTAATCTACCTTCATCTCTAACAATCCCATAACAATCATTCCCATCACTATCAGTAGTAATATCATCACCATGAACCACATATTTACATTGATATTTATTCATCCATTCAGGTTGTGTCACGTATGGAGCATTTATAATTGTTTTGGTAGTCCATTTATTTGAATCTATTGTAAATTCACGTTCTTTTAAATTCATAACGGTTGGACCTTTATTTAATGTAATTTCTTCATCACTATGAATACCAATATATAATTCTGAACCTAATTGTTTAGCTTGTAAAATTGCATTTGCATGACCATGATGGAAAAAATCAAAACATCCATCGATCCAAATACGATCCTCTATCAAATCTGATTGTGTCATTTCCCTAATGTTCAAGTTCTAGTTCAAAACACGTAATTGTATCTATTGTTACCACCAAAATAAAAATAAACGATATTTTTTGATCTTTAAATATGAATGGAATTCCTCCAGGAACGAAAGATTCTTGAAAAGGGTAAATTCCGAGGTGTCGCGTGATTTGCATGTGAATTTTAGAGTGGATGAATTCCGACTTGACATATACAACTCATTTTAATTTTAATTTACTCAATTTTAAGTGGTTTATGATGCTTCAATCAGCTTGAAATTGATATATTCTAGGATATTCTATACATAAATCTATCTTGAGGTATTAATCATTTTTCAGACAAAAAATTGGTTATCAACTCTAATGTAGTCTTATAATGACTAACTAATACTTCATCATGACCACCAGAAATAACATTAACAATTTTATCACCATGATTTGGGAAAATTGACTGTATCTTAGCTTCAGCTTCTTTATTTATATACTGACTATCTGCAGCTTTGATAAATAAAACTCTATTGTTTATTTGTTTATCCAATGATTGTTCAGGCCATGAACCTAACATTTTAAACCAATTTGAATCTATATAATCTAATGGAACTTTTGATTCAATAGTTTTTTGAGCCTTATCATATATAAAATTATCAAAAAGATATAAAGCCATAGCATCATCTTGAACAAGATGTTTCATATGACGAATCCCCATTAATTTCCATTCTCTTTCTCTTATATCTATATTACTTTTTTCCAAAACATCATGAGCCCAATGATTAAATTGTTTCATTGCTTCAATATATCTTGGGAAATCTGGTCCAATATCATTAACAATAGGTGCATTATCCAAGCATACTAAATTCTGTACAAGATTTGGATTTCCTAAATTAACAAGCATAGCTATTTTAGCACCCATTGAATAACCAATAAGATTAACTTTTTGTAAATTTTGTTCTTTAATGAAATTTTGTAAATCTAATGCCATTAATGAATAATTCATTTGAGTTGGTGTCTTGATAGTAGAACCATGATTTCGTAGATCTAGTGCTAATGTTGTAAGTCCCAATTGTTTATTGATATCTCTTGTCATTCTTGTGAAGTTTTTATGAGATCCAAGGAATCCATGGAGAAATATAGTGGGTATTCCAGAACCATTTATTTGTTTGAAAGGAAGTTTTATGGCTGATGACATTTTTATTGAAAGTTTTGATTTTTGGTGTATTAAGTTAGCACTTTTGGTGTTTATTTCTCGGGATATTTTTTTCTCGGAAAAGCACAATGGAATTATTTCAACCTTCAACTCATCAAAATCCAACACAATAACACAATTCAAAAAGAACAACAATCATCATTATAGTTAAACCAAATATATCATTCCAAAGAAATGCCACGTTTGAGGAAATCAATCCAAAAAATCAATCAAATCGATCAAGATGATGCACCTATTGACCAAGATGATCAAGATGAATTGTTAGACTTATTAAGAGTTGATAATTATCAAACCAATAGATTATTCATCAACATATTCACATTAATTTATTTAATCCCATTACCATTGTTCATTCATGTTAAATTCTTTCGTCAAAATCCAATACCAAGTTTCTTATCTATCGTTTGCCTAGTTTTATCAATCATAAAATTAAGATATTTCCATTTAATCAATTTCAAATCGTTTGATTCACCAATAATTCAAAAAGTACAAGTTTTGTTCAATCCTATACTTTATAATACATTTAGTATTGTTTTATCAACTACTGTTATTTATCAAAGATATGATAAGGGACTTTTGAGTTTGAACATCTTATATTTTTTTCCTATAATAGCAACTACAACTTCAATTGTTTTAATGCATTGGATCTTTGGTATGGATGGTAATATTGAAGAATTAAATAAATTGCAATATAAATACAAATCAAGTTAATGGTTTAAATTGATCATTCTCATCCATCTCCAAACTTTCACAATTAAATATTTTCAATGTATGCTCAGGTTTACCTTGTGATTTCTTAAGTTTCATTGATTGATAATTTCTTCTACTTTGATTGTTACTAAGATCGTATAAATATTCTGCTGATGTTTTAGATGATTCATTCAAAATATTTATAATATTATCAATCAATTTGTTGCTGTTTGTTAATGAATCTGATATAGATGTGATGTATTGATAATTATCACCAAATGTTTTTCTTGATAAATAACTGAAAACAAATGGCATCTCAAATTCTAAAGTTGTGATCATCATTGATGATTGAAAATAATTCATCAAATTACATAATGATTCTAAATCAATTTTCTCAGTTTCGGTATGAATATCAATTTTGATAGTCATTTGGGTCAAATAGACAAATTTATTAACACCACCAAATCTTGCCAAAACAGATTGATTCATCAATTCATCCTCTAAAACACATTCAAATGATTGCTTTGAATATTTGGTTTCTAGTTTATAGTCAAGTTCTTTCCAGAACTAAATCATTTCGTTAATATATACAACTCATGAGTTAAAGATCAAATCAGTTCATACTTTACTATTCTCCAAACACTTCATTAGATATTCCGCCCTGTTGGAAGACGTATCAAGTTTTTCATCATTTATGCTTATATCATAATATATCTTATTCTGGTTAATAAATGGTCTTCTTCCTTTGAACTATGATAAATGGTATCTTAATCTACTTTGAACCATGGTAAAGATGGCATAATGATCTTATTTTCAGAGTAATATGGTACTTGATATTCATAACCGCCACGTAAGTAAACATCACCAGCTTTATAAAAACATTCTTCTGACTTGAACAACATCTTCACTGTTTCTTAAAATCCCAAATAAATCATTGAAATCAGCGGTTAAAGAAAATGAAAAGTAAACAAAAAACACAACTTATACCAGTGGTCGGATATTGGTTACCCTCGTATTTCCCTTATTGTACCCAAATCGCATAAAAGCGGACATAACTCATTCGCGATGGTTACGAGCACTGGTGCCACGCCTATTGTTTTATAGAGTCCAATCAATTGTGTCAAAAATATTTAAGGTGTTCGGGGACGCTACTTTTATCCACTCACTTTTTAATTGATGATCAAGTGAAAAGGATTCCCCTTCTGATTCATTGTCTTTATCATGGATACATCTTTTTATACTTGGAAGTCTATAATCAAATAAACCCTATATAGATGATGTATGAGTTAGGTCAAATTGATTAAAGAAGTTGTATCAACTTCGTAGCCATGTGAAAAGTAGTACTTTATTGTGTGAAATAAAGCCTATAAGGCTCTGAAATTTTCATGAAAAATACAAATATATTTCAAGACCCCCAAGGGGATAGTTGTAGCGATAAAATGAGTTGGGAAAAGGTTAAATAACTTGTCGCCAAGTGGTACTAAATTATTCAAGTACAAATCGTAGATGAAAATAAACATTATAAAAGGACGATTTCCCAGCTTTGAGAATCGTTCTGAAATTTAATCAATACATATGTAATAAAAATATATTCAAGCTTCTGCTAAATATTATTGAACGTTCTATTGAATCAAATATCGAAAAGTGTGATCACACGATGTTTAAATGTGTAAGTAAATGGCTTATTTGTTCAACATATTGATGAGAATGGTATCCAATGACAATCATAGTCAAGCTGATGACGATACCTGAGTTTGATTAAAACAATTTAGGAAGTGCCGTGTGATTAAAGTGATCTCAAAACAGGACTCCTGACATTTGACTGTTAGATTGTTTTATTAAATACCGTTATCATCAATATGAGTTCATATTTAGTCTTATGAGAGCAAAACAACTAACCATTAAATCTGTCTTCTGAGTATAAGCTTTTCAAGTATATAGTATAGATAGCTGAAATGATATTACTTGGATCTAATTTTATTTAGTAGATCATGTATTATTAGTATTGAAGTCACAGTTTACAAGCTGCTATCGTATCACCCGAGATGTACATATAGAACTCTACAATCAAGACATCACTATTAGCAAAGCTAAGTATATAAATGTATATGATTATAGCTGTACTGACAGACATCAAATATGTATATTGATAGAATTGATAATCAATCGATATCTCACTAGAATATCTCGAGTGTAATATACACAGAAACACATGAGAAGTTTCAGATGCTTCACAAGTACCTATTATTATGGGATCAAAAATTAAACATTGGACATCCCCAATTACATCAAGAATATCAAGTATAAAGACGTTCCTACAATTACAAAATGCAACTAATTATAATTTAACGATCATTTATTTTATCATAATTGTAAACTTTAAAAGAAAAAAACAATAAAAAATGAAAAAAAACCATAATATAAAAATGACAAACTCCCAACTTGTTATAGGGTATAAAATATTTGATAAATATGAAACAAGTAATACAAAAAATATCAATAAAAAAACAAATAAAACAAAAAACAATATCGCCCGAATCTTTTCCTAGCTATTGTTGACCCTTTTTAAGAATTAAAGATAATGCAGTATTAGAGAGCAAACAATGACAATGAAAAATCATAAAATGATTGATAAAGTTGAATAATAAAACCAAAATAAAAGCGAAGTATTAACAAAATAGAAATAAGCTGAAATATTGAAAGAATGTAGCAATTGAAAGAAATTGATCCTATCAAAATGAAAGTGAATTATCATGATTAAAATTCATATGAAAAAAAATAAATGTAATAAAAATTATTTTTGGTTTTTCTATAATTTCTTCTATTTCTTTGTAATTAAATTCCCTTGAAAAATTCTTTTTTTTTAATCCGCTAAAAAATCCTTTTCGAAATTAAAAAGAATATTTGTAATGTAATGTAATGTGAATGAATGATGTTATATGTCCATGTTATATTTATGTTGAAAGATCAACTCCAACCTAATGAATTTTGAGCTGCAACTGGTGCTGAAATTCTTGGAACGTAATTATCAACTTGTTGCATTTCAGGTGCAGAAAATTGTGATCCTCTTGTTGGTAATTGTGATGAAGATGAAGGTAAACGAACACCAGCACCATATTGAACAGTATTGAATGATTCTGTTGATGCATTATTTGACATTGGCAGGATTGAATTTGAACGTGATTCTAATACAATACGTTTCTTATTGATAAAGAAACGAACAGCCAAAATGAAGATTGAAATGTAAACAGTACCACCAACAACTGAACCAATTGTAATACCTGCAAGACGTCCTTTACCTTTAGGATCATCTGAGCTTGGATCTGCTGAGTATTCCATAGCACCAGAGTTACCATCTGATGAATCACTGTCTCCTTTTTTAGAAGAAGAACCTTGTTGAGGTGAACCTGAGCTTTGTAATTTGTCCAAAATACCAGTCAATGGGATTGATGGATCAATCAACTGACTCAAAGCTCTACTGGTAGGGTCATCAGTTTTATAAACACCTGAACTGGAATCCAAAATATATTGTTGTAATTTAGAAACTTCAGAGCTTGGGAAGTAAACTTCAGCAACAGTAATAATATATGGAAGATCACTTGTACTTAATGGAACCAATTGTAAAACACTAGTATTAGCAGCAACCTTTTCAAATGGATTGTTTAAAACTTCTGGTAAATATTGGAAGATTTGAGCACTTGCTAATGAGTTTTTAACAACAAATGGATAATTCCAAGCTTGTTTGAAACCAACAGTAATCAATTGATAATTTTTTGGAACATCACTGACAGTATCTGGACCAATAGCTCTTGGTAATGATGAAGTAGCAGTGGCTGGAGCTTGAGAACTTGCACTTGAAGCACCACTAGTTGATTCAGTATGAGCTGTAGTAGCAGCTTCAGTAACTAAAGTAGTTGGTAACCAGTTATCTGATGATGGAGCTGGTGTAGGTTCACTTGCAACACTTGAAGCCGCTGGAACTGGAGCTGATGAAGCAGATACTGCACTAGATTCACCAGCTGGAATAGGTTCTGATGATGGAGCTGGTGCAATTGATGATGAAGCAATAATTTCTGATGAAAGTGGTTCTGATGGAATAGCTGATGAAGCAGCTGATGAAGTTGGAACAATTTCTGATGAAGCTGGTGCTGATGATTCAGCTGGAATAATTTCTGATGAAACAGGACTTGAAGAAGATGGAATAACTTCAGATGATTCAGGAGCTGCACTGCTTGAAGCAACAACTGGAGTAGAGGAAGAAGGTAAAACAGCAGCTGATGTGGTATCATTTGAAATGATAGATGATGGAGTAGCAGATGAAGAAACTGGAATGATTGAAGAAGATTCAATACTTGGTTCGATTGATGATGAAGGAACAACTGGAGCTGAGCTTGATTCTATAATAGCAGAAGATAAACCAGCAGCTGATTCAATACTTGATGATTCTGCAATTGCAATTGAACTAGAAGATGCTAAAGCTTCACTGACACTTTCACTTGAAGCAATAAGTGGTGCACTTGAAGTAAGAGCAGCTGTTGTTGTGTTAACAGATTCACTAGCTTCAGCAGTTGGGATTGAAGATGATTCCAATGAAGCCAAAGCTGAAGATTCACTAGCAATAGCTAAACTTGAACTCAAAGCAGCAGGGGCACTAGATGCAATGAAGGCTGATGATTCATTAGTTGCAACAGTTGAGGTTGTATTGTTTTCAGCTGAAATGGAGTATGAAGATGGAGTAACAATACTTGTAGCTGATGCTAATGATGCAGATGAAGCAGTCAAACCTTCTGAAGTAACTGATGATGGAGCAATAACAAATGATGATGATTGGCCAGCATCTTCAGCAGTTGAAGAACTTGAAACAACAGTATTAATTGATGAAGAAGATGGGTAAGGACCAATGAAGGCAGATGATGATGCAGCTGGTGAAGCAGTTGTACTTTCTGAGACAGGAGCTGATGATGATGGAGATGGAGCAATAGGAGCTGATGATAATGCAACTGAAGGTGATGGTGATTCAGTTGTACTTTCTGAAAGAAGAGCTGATGAAGATGGAGATGGACCAATAATGGCTGATGATGATACAGCTGAAGGTAATGGTGAACCAGTTGTGCTTTCTGTAGATGAAGCTAATGAGGATGGAGATGGACCAATAAAAGCAGCTGATGAGGATAAAGCAGAAGGTGTTGGAGAGCTAGTACCAGTTTCTGAAGTAGCTGTAGTTTCTGAAGAGCCGAAGACACTTGATGAACCTGCAAATGGATCATTACTCTTTGGTAAAATGGCACTTGATACTTGTGAAGATTCAGCAGCATCAGAAGTACCTGTAGTTGTTGAAGCAGTTGTTGATGAACCAGCATCTGTTGGTGAAGTTGATGACAAGTATGAAGATTGAGCAGCAACATTTGAACTCAAATCAGTAGTAGCTGAAGTTGTAGCAGTTTCACTTGATGGAGTAGTTTCAGTAGTTGATCCTTCTGGTGAATTTGTAACAGATGCTGAGCTAGCAGTTGTAGTATCACTTGGATTGACTAATGATGAAAAAAATGAATTGACTGCATTTTGTGAAGATGTTGTAGATTCTTGAGTAGTTGATGATTGACCAGCTTCTTGTGTAGTACTTGAACCAGTTGGGCTTGAAGTGGTAGAATCAGTACCAGAGACAACTTGATTGATTGAAGAACTTGGAACTTCAGATTGTGTAGTAGTAGCATCAGTAGTACTGGCACCAGTTGAACTTTCAGCTGGAGTAGTTGAACTTTGAACTTGTTCAGTTGGGGCTGAAGAACTTGGTGTTGGAGTAGTTGATGTAGTTGTTTGTGATGATGGTGAAGAATTAGCTGGACCAAATACTGATTGGAAGAAATTCTCACTTGATGATGATGTAGTAGTAGTTGGTGAAGATGTTGTGCCATCAGTTGTACTTGAAGCTGCTTGAGTTGGAGCTGAAGAACTTGGTGTTGGTGTTGTGGAAGTTGTAGTTTGTGAAGATGGTGAAGAATTAGCTGGACCAAATAATGATTGGAAGAAATTCTCACTTGATGATGTAGTAGTAGTTGGTGATGATGTTGTACCATCAGTTGTACTTGAAGCTGCTTGAGTTGGAGCAGATGAAGCAGCAGCAGCACTTGAACTTTCAGCTTTTTCAGTTGTTGAACTTGATGCAGCTCTGTTAACCTGTTCTGAAGCAGAGGAATCTTGTTGTTCTTGAGTTGTACTACTTTCTGGAGCTGGTGCAACTGATGATGATTCAGCTTGTTGTTCTTCAGTTGTACTACTTGCTGGAGCTGGTGCAACTGATGATGATTCAGCTTGTTGTTCTTCAGTTGTACTACTTTCTGGTTGTGGAGCAGCTGATGAGCTTTGTTGTTCTTGAGTTGTTGTATCCTGTTGAATTGATGAACTTGGAGTTGGAGTTGGTTCTGGTGTAGTTGATGAAACTGCTTGTTGTTCTTCAGTTGATGATTGTTGTTGTTCTGGTGTTGATGATGAAATTTGAGCTTCTTGGGTTGGTGTAGTAGAACTTGGAGTTGGTGCTGGAGCAGCTGAAGAACTTGGTTCTTGTTGTTGAGTACTTGATTCAGCTGGAGTAGTAGAGCTTTCTCCTTGATTTTCATCTTGTGTAGGACTTGTAGAGCTTTGAGCTTGTGTAGTACTTGATGATTCTTGAGCTTGATCTTGTTGTTGAGTTGAACTTGTCCAAGTGTTTGTATCTGTATTACCTTGTGTACTTGATGGGGTTAGGTTTGTAGTTGATGGATTAACAGGTTGTTGAGATGAAGACCATTGTTGTTGATTATCAGTACTTGATGTAGTAGTATCTGAAGTTGTTGAACTTTGACCTTGTTGACCTTCATCGGTACTTGATGCAAAATAATTCACACTTGAAGGTTGAACTGGATTTGAACTTGAAGTTTGATCAGTTGATGTTGAAGAATCTTGACCCAAATTCCAAGGGTTGTTATCAGATGTTGATGAAGATGATGTAGATGAATCTGTACTTGTCCCATTATTATATTGATCTTGACCTGTTAAAGAGTCACCAGCTTTTTTAAACCAATCAAAATTCAATGGACTACCTTCAACAGATTGTAAAATCAATAACAAAGTTAAATATTTCAACTTCATATTGTAAACTTAAAACCTTTTGAAACTCTTTAAATATTTTGTAATATGAATGTAAAACCTCAATTGACACGAAAATAAATAGCAAAAATAACACACACAATAGTATATAACTTTTAATAACAAGATTTCAATGATATTTTTTTTAAATGAATGAAAGAAAGACTATAGTGAGATGATTGAAATCTTAATATTATTGATATTGTGGGTTTTCAACGATTGTATAATAGTGGCAAAACCTTTTGATGTTTTTGATTAAAATTCCCAATGTTGATATATCTCTAATTGAATCTGTATCTAAAAAGGAAATAAATCAAAAAGACGGGTGATGTTTTTGAAGTGAGTGTATAAGGAAAGCTAAGCGCTATGTGTATCCAAGGGTATCAAGGGGGTATATTTGGAGGTTGAAGTTGAGTTGTAGTTTGGTTGAAGTTGAGATTTAGTTGTTTTAAGAATGGTTAATTATTTTAATTGTTTTGTTTTTTTTGAGGGAACTTTTGGTTTTCTGGTGAGGACTTCAAAGGAATTTCTGAATTTCCTGGAATGAACCAAAATTTTTTTGCACTTTTAACAGAATTTTTGGCGCAAAATTTCAAAGGAGAATTACCTAATTTGGTGATTATGGATATCTATGGTATTTTCTTCTTTTTGTAACTAATTTGAAGTGGAAAAGGTTGAGGTAAAAAGAAGTAAGTGAATGAGATTAATTGAATCGATCCAGATCATAAAAAGAATCTACAATTTACAATCATTATGAGCTGATTATATTACACGAACAAGTAATTTTAGGGGCTTGTGTATTACAAAGGAGTTGATTTTTTGTGAAAATTAAGAGATCAGGGATTGCAAAAGACCCGAAATAGGAAATTTCCTAGTGGTGAAAAGATTCGCGTACAGGTTTTTCGCTTTGAAAAAAAAACTTTTTAAATTCCTGATTAAAACGGCAATTCAAATGGTCTAGAACAGATTTAAATACGTATAGATCTGGCCATAAACTTACATTGAACTACATGATCTTTTATATTTCTGGTTATTTGGTTAACTCTTTTAAGCCTGGTACTTCCTTCAACATTCTTCACAAACATTGGTACGCCTTTTCATGGAAATAGTAAACAAAGGGCTACCTAAAGTTAACTCTAAACTTTAAAGTATAACCACTAATTAAACATGGACTAAAAAATAACTAAATGATCAGTCTTAAGGCAACACTGGTATCTTCAACGTTGATAGGTTGATCTTGGGTGAACTAAATTAAAATTCTTCAATTGATCGTCCTTTAGTTCTAACTTCTGAAGTTCTGAAAGCGCAAATTCCCACACTAAAAAATCATCAATTGTAATTTGTTACCGGGAAGTTGGAAGAATCGATTTATCCATTTCGAAATAATTCGTACTTTAAAATTGCAAAAAGTTAAAATCTTACTTTTCAATTTTGCAGAAATCGCAGATCTTTACTTGAATCAGATATGAAAATTTTTGCGAGATCTATGCTTATGTCATGGTTGCTATACTGATTATGTCATCCAGAACAAGCTAGATCTTAAAAATAGAAATTAAATTCTTGAAAATCGCGGGTATTTCAATTCGCGAATTAAGGTAGTTGGTGTGAATTTTTCAGCGGATTTATCTTGTATGGATAATTAAATTTGATCTGGATTTTTATACTTTGCTACATATGATCCTTGTTTTGTTTGAATTTTGCACTTATTTGTATGCAGTTTATTAAAGTTACTTTCAGTTTTGGTGAATGATTTAAATTTAATAAATTGGTATCAATATCAATATGCAATATACCATATACTTAAAAGATATGTTGGATAATGTTTTGCTTGATAGCTATGTGATTGTCACTCATAAAACTAATTTTGGTTAAGTCTTAACTGTTTAAGGTTTTATTATTTATAGAGAAGATGAAAAACATTTTTACTTGAATTCCATTTTGATATATCAATAGCTTGATTTAGTATTGTGCAAAAATATTATCATATTGATATTTAATGCTCTTTATTACAAGCTACTGAATTTATTTTAAACCAATATTTTAAGACCTTTTGGATGAATATCAAGCGCTGAAAGAGCATACTTGTTTCCCAATATTGGTTCATAAAATATACACATTTTTTTCTTAATCATTAATCATTTATTTCTATATACATTGTAGTTCAATATCAATCACAATTGATATTATTGTAAAATATCATCTATACTAACATTATTATCAATTTTTAATGCTTCTTTCCAAAATTTATTTAAATGTCTTGTACCACTATCACAAGCAATAATAACAATATTAATCCCTGTATTTTCAAGATTTTTTTGCTTTACAGCTTTTAATGTAGCAACTGCATTAATTGCTGTTGAAGATCCAATAAATAATCCATCATTAACACTTAAATATTTAGCCATTTTAATAGCTTGTTCATCAGTGATTTTAATAGATTCATCTATAAATTCTTCACCTTGTGCAAAATTATGAGTTATTCTATTTAATCCAATTCCTTCTACTATTGTATCAACTTGATGTCTTCTTCTTGTACCTTCTTTTTCTTCATTTGTATACATAACTCCATAATTTATTCTATTGAAAAAACCACTACCTTGAGGATCTGCCAATATTGTAGTTATGGTTTGAATATTTTGTTTTAAATATTTTGATACACCTGCAATTGTACCACCAGTACCACAACCTGCAATGAAAATATCAATTTTACCATTTAATTGTTTAAAAATTTCAGGTCCTGTTGTATTATAATGAATTTTCCAATTACAATCATTTTCAAATTGATCAGCAAATACACCACCACTTCCATCATTATTATCACAAGCATTTTTAGCACTATTAACATATTGACTTGGATCTACAATAGATGCAGGTTTAACTTTAACTATATCAACACCTAAAGTTTCAAATAATGCTAATTTATCAGGTGAAGTATCATCAGGTAAATGAATTTCTGATTTGTAACCTAATGAATTCCCCACAGTACCTATACTTATACCTGTACTACCTGAAGTTCCTTCATAAACTGTCCCATTTGGTTTTAATAAACCCTGGGAAACTTTATCTTGGATTATAGCTAAAGCAACTCTATCTTTTGCACTACCACCTGGATTTAGGTATTCTAATTTAGCATAAACATTACAACCTGTCTCCTTGGAAAGTGATTTAATTAAAATCATTGGAGTATTACCAATTAATCCTTCAACTCCCACAGTTGGTGGTGATAATTTTGTTAATTTTGAATTATTATAACTCTTATAAAGTTGATTTAAAGACCAAAGTAGTCCTAATGCTGTAGCGCCACATGCTGATATTTCTCTCCAAGTGAATTCTCCCATAATCAATCACAGCGGTTAATTCTTATGAAAATAACAAAATCAAAATCAAAATCAAAATCAAAATCAAAAGTTCACAAACTTACAATCAATCAATAAATCAATTAATTAAAATTATAATCATGTATTACGTCATCATTATGTAATGCATTGCAATCACGTGATAATCACGATCACGTGATTGTTTTGTCTGTCATTTTCAAGCGTGTCTCTATTATCTTTCCGTTTCAGCCGTGGGTTAAAACTCGTCAGCGTGTTTAATCGGTGATTTTTTGAGGTTTTATGCTCAAATTTGAGTCTTTGAATGCAGAAAAAAAGGAATAAACAATAGATTGGATAAGTTGGATCATGTAATAACTTTTAACATCTATTTATTTATTAATATCCGTATTCCACATTACAAATTAATCGATTTTAGTGGATTTTACGGAGTTGAAGTATTCATATTGGTCATTTGGTGTCCAGGTGTTTCCAGGGTTTAGCGTATATTGTTTTTTTTTTTAAAGGAGTTTACTTGCCAGAAAACGGTTTTTGAGACAGGTTAATAAACAATACGAATTTTTTTAATAAAGGGCAGAATTTCAGCTTCTGGAAACTTAAAATTCTTGGATAATTCGCAAGATAAAGTTACTTCAACGATTCAGATTATAATTGTGGGTTATTTAGATAACCATTTTGCTACTTTAAAGAAACACAAAATCACTTTTGATCAACATTTTGACGTTTAATTTTTGAAAGGCGGTCGTGTATACGTTTTTTTAGTGGGGCAAACTAAAATATAATCAATATCATGAAGGAAGAAACTAAAGAGATACCAACTGACAAGTTGGATAATAAAGATAATGAAGTCAAGAATGAAAACCCTGCAAAGAAATACTCGGTCAAGTTTAAAAGATCAAGGTCAACAAGAGCTTGTGAAGTTTGTCATAGTCGGAAAGTTAGATGTGATGCTATGATTCATATACCGTGTACAAATTGTTTAACATTTGGTTGTGAATGTAAATTCCCAGAACCTAAAGTAAGGAAGAATGCTAAAAAGAATAAAAATGATCCAAAGCAAAATGTGAATAATCAATCAATATCTACCCCTTTTAATGCTCAACTTTCTTCTTCATCTTCAAATTCAATTCCGTTAAATAAACAAGATCAACATCATCAACAACCCCAACAATCAGTTGATTCACAACAACAATCAACTCCACAATCATCTAAAAAGAAGAATGAACCTGTTGTTGCAGTCTCTGCTCAAACTGCAAAGATTGATCAAGCCAAATTTTCTCAAAAAATGGCTTCAGTTTCATTTATTGGTACTTCATCTGCTGCTAATTTATTATCAGATCATTCATATACTTCATCTCATAGAATAGTTCGTGATGAATTCGTACCTCCAGAATTAAAACAAGTCATAGATATGACAAGAATTGGTCTTGATACTGTTCAAATGGAAATTTTAAAAGTTCGTGGTGCTTTTTTATTACCTGAAAAACAATTATGTGATGATTTAATAAATACTTTTTTCAAAAAAGTTTGGCCATCAGAACCTGTTATTGATAAAGATGAATTTATGAAAAGTTATAAAGATGGTTCAATTTCTATATTATTATTACAAGCTACGCTATTATCTGCTTCAAGAGTCTCAGGGAATCCAAGTCTTTATGATTCTGAAGGTTCAAATTATTTAGCAAGTTGTACTTTTTATCAACGTGCTAAAGCTCTTTATGATGCAAATTATGAAAGAGATCCATTAACTCTTGTTCAATCACTTTCTCTATTAACAAAATTTTGGGAAGGTTTAGATGATATTTTGGGTAATAGTTATTATTGGACTCGTATTGCTATTGCCGTGGCTCATGGTTATGGATTCCATAGATCTTTAAATGAAGCTGTATTAAGTGATCGTGAAAAAAATACTTGGAAAGTTTTATGGTGGAATTTATATATTAAAGATATATCAACTTCAGTTGCTTTTGGAAGACCAAATGTTATTCATTTAGAAGATTGTGATGTTGAAATGGTTAAATTAGAAGATTTTGATCATAATTTACCTTATGAAGATGCTGAATCTTTTATTCAATTGATTAAATTATCAGAAATTATGTCAATTGTATTACAAGAACAATATAGTGCTAAAGCTGAAAGATTAAGACATCGTGAAAATTGGGTTATTACTCATTGTGATATGCTAATGAGTTCTTGGAGAAATAATTTACCATCAGAATTACAATATTCACCAACTAAAAAATTTAGTTTAAATGTAAATTGTTTAAATTTATATTATTATAGTGCAGTTTGTCTTGTTCATCGTTCAAATATGGTTAGAACTGCAACTTTACATGGGAAATCTTATCCTTCAGAAGGGATTGTTTTCCAAGCTTCAAGAATTATTGCTGATATAAGTGCTAAAATGTTAAAATATAATCAAGTTAGATATGCAGGTTCATTAATCATTCCAACTTTATTTATTGCTTCTATGACTTTTATATGTCATTTAGAATCTCCAAACAAGACAATTGCAAGAACTGCAAGATTAGGATATGAAGTTTTATTTAAATCTCTTGAAGAAATTGGTAAAAATTATTTAATTGCAGTTGTAATTGCTCATAATATTAAAATGTTGGCAAATGATAATAAAGCAAGACAAAATTTATTAGGTCATTTAGCTAAAAGAAATATTAATGATGAAAAACCAAGAGAATTAAGTAATGTTCAAATTAATCCAAATGATTTCCCTGTTAAACCTTTAAATTCTGATGCTGATCATCATCAAATTCCACCTCAACAACAGCAACAACCAATCCATCCCCAAGCAATTCAACAACAAAATCAATCTTTAAATTATCATCAATCTGAATTTAAATATCCATCTGGTGGTACTCCAGTAACAACACCTGGTACACAACCTCAATCAACTTTCCAAACACCAAATAATGGAGGTCCAAATGGTAATGGTAATTTAGAATTCCCAGATTTATATCTATTTACAAATACATTACCATCAAGTTCATGGAATAATTTTAATCCATCAGAATTATTCCCAAATCCAAAAGATCTTCATGTTAACACATCAGGAACATCTCATTCAACTCACCATCACCATCATCATCATCAACAACAACAACAACAACAGAATGCTACAACTGCTACACCATCTAATCTTCATCATCAAACTCCACATCAGGCAAGAACTGATTCTTCATCAGGTTCTTTACCAAACAGATCACCAACTGATTTATTTGATGATGTTAATGTTGATGGATTTGATCCAAATGGGTTTGATTTTAATTTACCAGAATTTGATTTCCAAAATTTTAATAATTCAATTTCTTTACAAAATATTGCTTCAATTAATGATTTTTTTAATCCAAATACTCCAAGTGCTACTGGTGGTAATCAAAGTACAAATCAAAGTCCTGGTAATACTAATTTCCAATGAGGTTTAATGTATATATGTTTTATGTCTTTTTTTTAACTTGTCTTTTTACTTTTTTGATTTCTATTATTAATTCTTGCTATATTATAATGCTAACGATGCCCAATGATACTACAAATTTCCGTAAATATATTAAAACCATCATAAAATCATATCTATTCATCCTTTTACACATCTATTTTTTAGATTTTTTTTTAAACATTGATAAACCTTTAGATTTCCTTGATTCTTTTTTCAAACTTTTCATAGTTTCTTCTCTTCTTAATCTTTGTGTATGTCCAACAAGATTTTCTACAACTCCTTCAAATGTTTCATTATCAATCTCAAGATTTTTTTGTTCATATTCCCATATTGATAATAATTTTTTTAATTCTTTAATTTGTTCTTTATATTCCAATACAACTTTATTCAAGGTTTCTTGATCAAGGTTTGTCAATTCATCATCTTCTTTAATTGATTCTTGAAATTTATTCAATATCTCATCTGTATTCTCTCTATATTTCTTGGCTTCTTCATCACTTATATTCAAACTTTCAAAATCAGGAATTTTATAATTTGAACCATCATCTAAATTCTTTCTCCTTATTTGATCTTTTTCAGAATCAATTCCTAAAGTTTGTAATAATTGTCTTCTAAGTGAACTTTTTTTCCAACTATAAGGTTTCAAATATGGTAAAGCGACTAATCTTTCCAACAGTAATCTTGATCTTTCATTTAAAACATCTGTATTTGAGGGCACTGAAGCTGGTGGTAATTCTTCAGGAAATGATTGATTCAATAGTTCTTGAACTCTCGTTTGAAACATCTCGGGTTCATCAAATAAATCTTGTGGTAATTTGAGATGGGTGTTGTTGGTTTCTGGAGTTGATATTGATTCTTCTTGTTTTGGTGATTCTGGTTCTGGAGGTTGTTCGAACTCATCAAATGAGGCATCTGAGAATGCACCAAATTCATCATCATCGTCTTCTTCATCAACTTCCTCTTCTTCCACTTCTTCTTCTTTTTCTTCTTCTTGTTTGTTCTCTAGTTCATCAGCATCTTCTTTCTTCTGCTCTTCTTCACGCTCGTTCTCTATATCTCCATCGACTGTGTCCTTTTTGATCTCGGTTTCATCACCATTTTCTTGCTCTTCCAGGCTCAATTCTTTCACTTCCTCCGTCAATTCATTTCCCTGATCTTCACTCATACTCGATGATAGCACCACTAGATAAATCACCAATTGATAATTGTAGCTGATAACTTTCAAATCAAGTTGGTTTACAGATGTTCATTTTTTCTTGTTTTGATTTCATAACAAAAATTCGCGACCATAATAACTATATGTCAATTTTAAAGGACGTTATTGGAACTGAATATCTGATCTGGTTCTCAATATTATATGAGCTCGAGGACGTTTCTAAGGTAATTTCCATGGCTTAAATTTTTAATAGCTCAACCGGTCATGTTCTGTTGATAATATCATGTTTCTATATTGATTTACCTCCGTTATGTAAGCGATGGCACAATGCTTACCTATTAGATTATTCACCTGCAGGTGGTAATCAAGGATATTGTTTGCACTACAATTGTGAATTAATTAAGTGGACATATAATATTTGAGATAATAGACAATAGTAATTGAGATAGTAATAAGAATTAATATAAAAATTCAGCCTTGAATTGAAAAGAACATGACTGAAGTTAATCAACTTGGATTTGAATAAAGAAAGAATCAATATTTGAATCAATCCAAAAACATGACAATAATATGCACATATTTACAATCATTGCAATTGGAAAGTTGTAAGTCACATTGCTGCTGAGAAAAACATATTCAACTTAACAGTATTGGAAACCATCACAAAATGTATTTGGATCACCAGCTGGAAGAATTTTAGATTCTTTGGCAGCTTTCACACAATCTTTTTTATTCTTGATTTTAGAACAATAGAAGCGACAATGTGCATGAACTCTTGCTAGTCTATCTTGAGCACAAGAAGGATTTGGAGGACCTGGGTTAAGAAAACAGTCAGATGACATTGGCAGTGTCCAATAAAACACACAGTTTTGATAATTATTTTCGGCACATTGTTTATGTTGTAAAGCATCAGAACAAAGCTTATCTTTAGCTCTTTTTTCCAATAATGGGCTTGTTTCATCATCAGGATTAGCAATTGGTGATGCAATGATACCAGTTAATAAAATAGCTTGAACAATAATGGTTGAGAGCTTCATGATGTTATATGATTTAGTATTCAATGGTTTGAAGGAGCTCAAACGATTGATGATGATTGTACATTATCTTCTTGGATATTCAAATTGTTGGAAAACTTAGGTATTTATATAGTATACAGAAATCATTTATCAACAATGGGGAGATCTTTGAGTAAAAAAAGGGTGTAGATAATTATTGCAATTTGCCATATTCAATCAATAATATAGTGATCGATATCACTAGGTTTCACCAAGAAAACCATATAGCCAAATCAAAGCGATTATTAAGATAAATATTATGGAGAAAAATGTGTCACTCAATACTTTGTGTACCTTACGCAAGTACTACGTATCTAATTATCAGATTAATTCTGATAGTGTAGCCATATTAAAGTTCAAACGTCTAGGCACAACCATGCTGGACCTGCGTCATGAATTAATCTGAATCATAATCATCATGTCCTCCACCCTCCACTCCTTCAATTATTCACCCTTTTAACGGGTTCTGTACTTAAAAGGGTATACTTCATAGCAAAATTCTTTTATAGTTTGTCATTTACATGTTTAAATCGACCTCATTGTCTTGGACCCTGAATTATTGATTGTAGATCGATCTGCAAGAAGATAAATATAGTTATAGCACAATATTTATATTGATGATATAATCGGGATTAATATATTAATAATTAGACACATACTTTAGATATCAAACATAAAGAAAAGATTTATATAATGGATCGACGTGGCCTAATCTGCCAATGGAGCGCTTTATAGTTTACCTTCAGGGAAATAGGGGAAGCTGTACGTATAGAGAATTGACAAAATCATCTACGTCATTTCTGATATATAAATCACTTACACATTAAAAAATTAACGGAAAAATAACATTTTATAGATTTTCTTTTTTGTTGTATATGTAAATATGTACTTTCTCATAATCTATATGAGTATTTTTGAGGTTTATTCACGAAGGTCTAGTTCTGGACGTTTTTGAGTTCTCTTCTTAACACCACTTGCTGCTTGTTGTTCAAAAGTTGTAGCATCTTTTAAATCACGACCAACATTATCTAAATCTTTAACTTTATAAATACGAACTAACCAATTTTCAGATGTGAAGGCTTCTTCTGCAATATTCAAATCAATTTTTTGTGTAATTTTTTGATTACGAACTCTATCAGTTGCAATTCTACCACCGAAAACATCTGTGAATCTATAATAAGATAATTTGTACATCAATGAATTCTTCATAGTTTCTGTAGCATCATCATCAACTCTATATTCACCTCTTTCTGTAAAGAAATTTCTTTCTTTAACTTCATCTGGCCATATACCTTCAGCAATTCTAACCATCCATAAAAATTTATTCATATCATCACCTGAATAACCTAATAACCCACCAAAGATGACTAAGATATAATCAACATCATGTTGTCTTAAAATCTTATATGAAACATCTTCTGATGATGACATGGCTTTACCCACAGTGGCAATATGTGTATTATTCCAAGTGTTGTTATCAACTAATGTAGTACGATCAGCCATACCACCAATTTGATAACCATAATCCCACCATGACATAACTTTAGCATCTTCTGGTGTATTCATTCTTAACCAATAATAAGCTTCACGATAATCATCGATTAATTGAGCTGAACCATCTGGACCTCTTGATGATAAGACAACTGATGGAGATGAATAAGCATTTGATGTAACCCAAGTACAATGATAAACAAATAAGTATAAATATGAAGTAAATGTTAAGACAACGGTTAATTTGGTTAATAATCCGAAAATGGTAGCTTTCTTTTGTTCTTGTTTAACTTCATCATTTTCAGTTTCTAATTTTTCATCATCAATTGGTGTAGTTTTAGCAACAAAAGTTTCACCATCTTTATTTTTCAAGAAATCTGAGAAATCTAAATAAACATCAAATAATTTTGAAATTGCAATAGCAGCTGAAACACAAATGATTGGAGTTAAAGTTAACATTAAACGAACCATAACACCTGCGAAATATGAACATAAAACACTATAAATAATAACGAAAACATGTTCATTCTTCAATTCTTGGAATAATAAATAAATACCAGCTGGGAATAACCAAATTAAGAATTGAGTATCAAAGAAAAATGCAGGCCATGCAGTAGGTTGATGTTCAGAAACTGAAGCGATAATTGGAATATGGATCTTGGCATAGTTAGTATCCCATAATGAATAGAAACGACCAGTCCATGGAGCAATTAATCCAGCTAAAGTTAAACCAACTAATGCAGCAATACCCAAGACAATAATCAAAAAGATTGAAACAATCAAGACTGATTTAAATTGTTTTGATGGAACTTTTGAACGAACATAATCACCAAATGCAACAATTTGAATTAAACCAAAAACACCAAATGCAGCCATATGATCATTTGAACGAATTGGTAAGAATCCAACGAATGGAATTTGCATTGAAGCTAAAGTACCAATTGCATACCAAGTTGAATATGATGTATATAAAGCATGAGAATAACGACCCATCAAAATTAAAACGAAAACATGTAATGGAATCAAATTTGTAATGAAAACATAACCACCCCAAGCTGAAACCATATAGAAATAGAAGACAGCAGCCCAAGCTGACCAGAAAACAGAACCTTCCTTGGAGGCTTTAATCCAAAGGTAAAAAGTAGCCATCAATAAAGTGATTGCAATAGCTTCATTATCATAAGAACCTGCAACTGATCTTGAAATATAACCTGGTGCAATACCAATAAAAGCAGCAGCTAAAAGACCTGCAGATGAATCTTTAATTTCCTTTGTGAATAAATATGTAGCATAAGCAGTTAGACCTGAAAAAGCAGGAGCTAACATAACACAAATATTTCTAATATCAACTGGTAAACCAATTTTTCTTAATGCATGCCAAATAGTACCACTTGTAACCATAAGACCTGGATATAAAGTACCACCAGTAACTCTACCTAAAGGATACCAAGTTCTATCATCAAACCAATTTAAGAATTCATAAAAACTATGAGAAATTAAATATTTTGAAGCTCTAAAATTAAACCATGGATCAAATTCATGAATAATTGATTCATATCTAATAACTGAAAATAAACGTGAAGAAACCGCAGCACCAGCTATTGATATAAGGATAATCCCTTTTAAAATCAGTTGAAGTTTACTTAGCGTAGACTTCTTGATCTCTGTTAGAGCCATTGTATGAGTCTTGAAATTTTTTGCAATTGAGATGAAGTTTATCTGTTTTCAATTCAATTACCTTTCTTTGAAGATATTTTAGATTCTTTTACACCGTGTACTACAATTTCGACGTGGTCTTTGAAAAGTCGAGATACGAGGGTGGAAAATACTTACACGTGACGCAAAACGTGATTTTGGATGGTCGGAAATATAAACTATTAAATACACAAAACACAAAACTATGATTTAATTACTTTTACAAGCATTTTAGAGGTACTACAATTGATAGATAATGTATAAGAGCAGCGTATAATTAGTTTTCAGCAGAAAGAATATTCGCAGTGTTTAGTTTATCAGCTTGATCACCACCATACGAGTATTCGAATCACTCAGATTTTTATGATCTTGAGTTTCATCTTATTCCTTTGATTCTTCTTGTTGTTGTTGTTCTTGTTGTTGTTTTGACTGTGTTGGTCTACACCATGTAGGTTTTGAAGGTTTTGGAGCATCTTCATTTGAAGCAGCAGCACCACCTAAAGTTGGCCAAAGATCTTGATTAGATTGTTCATAATTTTGTACAATAACAGTTGATGTTAAATTCTTAGCTTTATGTTCTTCTCTTGCTAATTCTTTATATTGTCTAGCTTTTTCAGCTATGAATTCGTCTTCATCGTTAAGCTTCAATAATTGTTCAATTGTAATACCCATTTTGTTTAATGTTTATAGTTTATTTGTATTTATTTGTAGTGTAACTAAAAAAAGATGGTAAAAGAATTGCATTCAAACTTGGACATATTGGTCTTCTTTATACTTTTTGAGAGAGGCTAATTCTTTTAAACACTTATTCTTTATGCTCAGTTGTCAATTATCTGTTCATCATATTAACTATGGATTATAGAAATTTCTTCTCCTGAAAACAACTCAATGATCATATAATTGCTCTATGAAATTCTAAGTTATCTGTTTATTAAATCAGCTGAGTAATGGACGCTTAAGCTTCTCATTATAGCTGTGTAATTCCCCCTTGTTTTCGACAATAGTTATTGTTTATTGTAGAAGACACAACGATAATTGATAATTGATGCGATATATCATCTATTAAATTAACTTAAATATCAGAAAGATCAGAATAGTCTGAAAACTATTAATCAAACACGAAATATAAGTGGAATAAAACGATTCTCTATATGTAAATTATTGTAATCATATAGAATCCGAATTCATATTCCTTCATAATTAACAAAAATTTATGAATATTAACCCAACTTATGGAACTCTAGTCAAAATAAACAGCTACAAGGTGAAATAACAATATTTGGGAAAACAGTTGAAGTTTTATACTCTATCTTAAATATAATTGAAGAATATGTACTTTAAATAAATTTGTAATATCAGATGATCAGAATGAATATATTATTTAATATGATTTGAATTTAGTTCACCGCTATAAAGATTTGTGAAGACTACAATCTATTAATCACTTGTAGAATATTATAGCTTATCAAACAAATATCAGTTGATCTAAATCAATCAAGCAAGATTATAAGTAATCAAAGCATCATTTATTATTGTACATAAACATTAAATCATCTTGACCAGGGCGGTAATCATATAAAGTTCATGGTATCAATATAAAGCATAATTCTTTAAATTTTGAATATGATCAATCAACACATAACATGTCATGAAATCACCAATTTGGAAGATATACTGTGATCAACTTTCTGAAAAGCCAGCCAAAAAAATAAAGGACATCATGAAATTCCAAAGAAATTTGACAGGTATTTAAAAATATAAAAAGTGGATTTGTAAATAAAAATGAAATGAAAATTTATAAGGAAATTTAAATCTTTAAATATGGTCGGAATTTGTGAATTTGTGGAGAGCCGGACTGGATCAAAGAAATATAAGCTTTTACTAGTATAAGTACGACTCCATATTGATTAACTCTTATATAGATAAGTAAGTAATTCTCATGATAAGATAGATATTAATTCCCAATATTAACAGTTAACAATGATAGATTATCTATTTGAATGTGTTCTTCAGTCAATATATAATTAATAGCTGATTATGTGTAGTACTAAAGCGCGAAGATAGATAAGCTTTTGTAACTTGCAACTTGCAACTTGTAACATCAACACATCAACATCGAACTCAAGCTCAAGCTCAAGTCATAATGGTTCTTAATCAGTCAACTAAAGATTCAGCTGTATGTTTGGTTTCTGATCAGCTATGATATCTAGAAATCAAGTTTTAATCAACCTATAAAAGGTCTTGCTTTTATGAATGAACATCAGATTGTCATCAAGGAATTAACAACTAAATTATGTTTTCATTAACTATCAAGGGGAGCTACTCATATTGGGAATTAGAGTTGCTCAAATGGTTTGTTTTGTCATCTGTTGAATCTCACAACTCACCTGTTTAATGTCTTTCATTGCTGTTCTTATGGCTGTTTTCATTGGTTAAGCGCCAGGTTTCCATTGTGATCATTATCCACAAACCTTTCGATATGCTACTATTGAGATGAGTTAATATATTTCATTCCTGTTTTAGTCACCGCTGGTGAACTTTTGAAATGGTTACACATGGCGGTTGTTTCTACATGTTGTGGGTTTGGATATGGTGCCTCCACCTAATTCATTGATATTACATCTCAAGAACTGGTCATTATCTACTGCTAATTTCCAAGTTTGACCAAATTACGCTAAAGATCTACATTATAATATTTCAGTTTCTTTATCGCTGGTTCTATTGTTGATCTTCAGGCTTGTCACATTCATTAATCCTTCTTTCCACAATCCAGTTCATGGTTCCAACAAGAGATGAGATAATTTGAACATTTGAGGCTAAATGATAAAGCATAACATGGTGGTCTTTTAAGGCATTTTCAACGATTAGCATCTTAACCGTCTATCTACTAGTCAAAGACATAACAAGTCATAGTGGAATATGTCAACATATCGGCATTTCAAATTAGAATATCCAATAGTATGCTGGTGAAGTTTTACTCTATTAGATCTACAGCAAATCCGTGATTTTGAGTGTCATATTCCATATATTACCCATGGGGAGAACAGTGATTTGCTCTGAACTTTAGATTTCCTTCAATGGGATAGTAATTGTTAAGTTTCAACCATAATCAAAAACTCAAAAAGGTATGTACAAACAATAGAATATATTTTGGTTACAATGGAGGATTCATCTTTTAGTCCCTATGGGATCATTACACAGGTACTTTCTGTATATTTCTCATATAGATTCCATTATCTTGAATGATTCTTTAGTTCTCCAAACTATCTTTGACGTACGGTTAATCTTTATTGATTCTCATATTCTCATAAAAGGATTATTACGAGATAAAATAGAATAATTTTCTCGAGATCAATTACCAAAATTTAATCTCAATTGATCCAAAGCATACCAATCTTTGAAATATGATCATTTCACCCGCACTTTCAATAAAGATCAGCTTCTTCGGTTTTGTATAGTGTATAGTGTATGCCATATGGTTATTTAGAGATAATTTTTCGCGGGTACTAATTTTAAGTAGTATAATTCTTCTCAAAACTTCTCATAACATCAAAACCATTCAATGACCTTGATATCCGTACGTGTTGAGAAGTTGATTAAAATGATGCTTTTATGAGAACAATAAAATAGCTATAAAGGAGGCTTGAACTCCCATACTTTTCCCATGTTTTTTTCTTTGTCCTTTCTTCCATTCAGTTTATCAGAGTTTACTAGTATACATTATACATTATAGATTACAACTTTGATTCATAATATTTTAAACTTAATAACAATATGACTATAGATGAAAACATTGCTGCTTCAACCGCCAAAGAATTCAAGGTGTTGGTATCCATTGATATTGGAACCACTTCCACAAGAGTTATTCTTTTCGATAGATATGGTAAAGATGTTGCATCACATCAAATTGAATATTCTACTTCTGCAAACACTACATTAGATGGACAACAAAAAATTTATTCCGCTGAAGGTACTGAAATCTCTGCTAATTATAATTTAGAAATTGAAGGTGATGAAACTAAAGATGGTCCAACTTTAAAATACCCAGGTGATGGGAAAATCGAAATTATACCAACTCACATTATTTCAAACGTTGTTGCTTGTTTTGCTCATTGTATAATAAAGTTGAATGAAATTAATGATGAAAGAAGAGTTAAAAGTCAACATCCATATATCGTGGCTGCCATTGGTATTGCAAATATGAGAGAAACTACAATTTTATGGGATAGTGAAACAGGTGAAGCTGTTTATGATGGTCTTGTTTGGAGTGATGCTAGAACTTCAGAAATTGTTCAAAACATGAAAGAAACCACTCCAAAGGAGAAATTAGATGCTATTCAACAAAAATGTGGTTTAAACATTTCAACTTATTTTTCAGCTTCCAAAATTAGATGGTTAATTGATAATGTTCCTAATGTTCAACAATCTTATCAAGCTGGTAAATTAATGTTTGGTACTGTTGATACTTGGTTAATTTATCATTTAACTAAAGGTCGTACATTTGCTACTGATGTTACAAATGCTTCAAGAACAATGTTTATGGATATTAATACATTACAATATGATTCTGAATTATTTGAATTTTGGAATATTGATCCAAATTTATTAAAATTTCCAGAAATTAAATCATCATCTGAATTTTATGGTAATTTTGAACTTCCAAATTTGAAAGCTATTGGTGCACCAGATATTTTAACTAAAGAAGGTAAATTGGCTTTACAAGCACTTGGTAACACAGTTCCAATCAATGGTGTTATAGGTGATCAATGTGCTTCAATGGTTGGTCAATTAGCTTTTAAGAAAGGTTCTGCTAAAGCTACATATGGGACTGGATGTTTCTTGATGTTAAATACTGGTTATAAACCATTAATTTCTAAAAATGGACTTGTTACAACAGTTGGGTTTTGGTTTAAAAATATGAATCAAGATGATGATTCAATAGCTTTTTATGCAATAGAAGGTTCCATCGCTGTTGCAGGTTCATGTATTCAATGGTTAAGAGATAATTTGAATATAATCCTTAGAGCTCAAGATGTTGGACCTTTAGCTTCATCGGTGAAAAATTCTGGAGGTGTTATTTTCCTTCCTGCTTTTACTGGATTTTTTGCGCCATATTGGGATCAATATGCACAAGGTACAATTTTTGGGATAAGTCAATCTGTTAATTTTAAACATATTGCAAGAGCTGCTTTAGAAGGGATTTGTTTCCAAGTTAGAGCTATTTTAAAAGCAATGTGTCAAGATGCTGGTGGAGATTCAAACTTTTTAGATGGTGATAAACCTTCTGGGAAACAATTAATTTCTGAATTGGCTATTGATGGTGGTATATCAAAATCAAAAGAATTTAATCAAATCCAATCTGATATTTTGGGTCCTTGTATGAAGTTATACAAGAGTCAAGTTAGTGAAGCTACTGCATTAGGTGCAGCAATTGCAGCAGGATGTGGATTTGAAAAAGATGATGAAAAAGTTTGGGCATCATTTAAAGAAGTTAAAGATTGTATGAACTTTAAAAATTCAGAAGTTTATGAATCAAAAATGGATAAAGAAACAAGAAAAGAAATTTGTAGAAAATGGGAAAAAGCCGTCAGTCAAGCTGGAGGTTGGCTTTCAAATGGGGTTAGATCAGCTTTAACTGAAGAAGAGATGGCAAGAACAAGCATTAAAGAATTGGAAAGAAGAATTGATCTTCTTCAAAAGCATGTTGATAAAAGAAAAAACATTGCTAAAGATGCTGAAGATGCTGGAAAAGGTACAAAGAGAAGATGCTAATGATGTTAAAGATGGTTGAATTTATTTATTTGTTGCATTTACATTGTATTTTATAATTATTTATTCATAGAGTGCATTTATATTTTGTCATATTTGTCATATAATTGTTTTTTTTTAATTTTTAAAAGTTTATTTGTTATTGTTTAATTTAAATATAATATTCATCTAGATAAGCTCTAGTAATTGTAGTTGTTATAACTTGATTGTGTCTGATAGATATTTCCATGAATTCATCATCAAAAGTCTGACTTGAGTTCAACATTCTTTCATGGGCTCTTCTGTGGAACTCTTATGAGAAGATTAATTCATGTACTATATACCCTACAAGCTTTGAAGAAGAGAAAAATTTGTTTATTCAATCAATATTTAGACTAATAATCAGATGATCAGAATGGTCAATCTAATGACAGTGAATCATACATGGAAAGATCAGTATTGATTTGAGTTGATTTCATTCAATGATACAATAGTTAGTATAAACAATTTATACTATACTAATACCAATTGTACTGATATAGGTTTTCGAATTTAGGCACTAAAGTTAGAAAAATTGGTTATAAACAATCAATATTCGATCCAACACTTTAAAGCAGATAACACTATAAGATTCAAAGCTCGACTATGTGCTTGAGGTGACATTGAAAAACAGACGTTCATAGTTCAATTTCTGTGATACAATATTACTCAGAAACATTCAAGTTGAAAAGTTCAAAACAGATTCTTACAATTTGAAATGGTTTGAACACACTTTATCCTCTGTCACGTGATAAAGCTTGATTTTTTGAATTAAATGGGAATTTTTGTATTGGATAATAGTAATTTTAATATATGGTAATTATCTTGTAATTTTAAGGATTTTAATGGTACTAGTAATTTACTGATATTCAACATTTTGATTTTTGTATTTTTTCAATATTCTTAATTTAAAAGTAAAATTAAAATTTATTACATATATTTTATTTTTGAAATTTCAAAAAGCATCAAAAAAAGGTCCAAATAACTGGGAAAAAAGAGGAATATATTAATTCTAATACAAAAATAACCATATTAATGATATAATCAACCAAATTAACCATAAATTCATCATTTTATTACAATTTTATTAAATCCCCAGCTTTTCCAGCCGCATAAAACACATTCGCGCATTTTTCGATGAGTAACAAAAAAGCTCAATTAATTCAACAAGAAAACAAAGAAATTGAACAGAATTCAAGTGAATTTCAATCAATCAACAACAAAACCACAAAACAATTGTATTGAACTTATAGACAACAGAAAGACATATGATGGAAGAGAATGGAACCATAGATACACACGTAACCCATGCTCAACAACCAGAGAAACAGGAACATCAACAAGAAACCTTGGTATCACATGTTAGTAATCAACAGAGTCAAGTGAATGTTAATGGAAATGTCAATGATAATGTGAAACATGGCGGTAATGCTCAAAATTCATCAGCTATTGAAGAAAAAGACCTTCCAAGTGAAATCACATTTGAAAAAAGATCTATACCAAAATCTAGAACTCAATCGGTTCAATCTGTATTATCAAGTGTTTCTTTGAGAAGTTTTGTTCAAAATAATCATCTACAACAAGCTCAACAGCAACAAGCTCAAGCTCAAGCTCAACAACAACAACAACAGGGGAATGGTAATGGTGCTGTTGGTAATAGTACTAAGCCATTTTTACCACCATCTCATAAATCTAGTGCTAAATTAGTTGATACAAGTTCATATATTCAAGCTCCGGCTACTGCAGCTTCATCAAAAAGACGAGCATCATTTGAAATTGGTCAAAGATTACCATTCAATCAAGAGCCAAAAGATGATGCAGTAGAAAGTGATGGTGAATTAGAAGTTAATGAAGAACAAAAAAAGTTAACTGATGATGCTCTGAGGAGATTATCTTCATTTTCAAAATTTCAACCTGCAGAAGTTGATTTAACTCCACAAGAACCAATAGATACTCATGAACAAGTTTTACAATCTTCATCATCAATAAATTCAACAAGTCAATTATATATGAATAATTATCATAGTCGAGAAAATTCTACTTCAAGTTTGAAAAAACCTTCAAAACCTCAACTTTCAATTTCAAATTCAATTCAACATTCAAATTCATTTCATAGACCAGGTTCATCTCCTTTACTAAGTCGGAAACCTCAAATTAATCCATCCCCTGCTGCTCAATTAAGAGATAGTAGACAATCATTCACCACTTTAAATCAGTTACCAAAACAACCAAAACAAGCATCTCAACAATCACAACCTCAACAGCAACAACAACAACAACAACAACAACAAAAACAACCTCAACAACTTCAGCTGCCTTCCCTACAACAAAATGGAACTCAAGTATCACAACAACAACAATTTCAACAACAATTACGTCCAACTCAAATGTCAAAAACAAATTCTACATCATCTCAAAGAACCATTGATGATACATCATCACTTCGAACAATAAATGACCCTAAGAGACCAATGTATATTCCAGCAGTCTTACGTCAATCACCAACAAATTTAAAACCTGAAGATTTAAAATTCATAAATGAATTGAAAACAAAAAAACTGATATCATCATCACCAACAAAACCTTCATCATTCCAAACAAATTCATCATTATCCAAGACCCCTACTAAAACCCATTGGAAAAAAGATGATTATAGAGATGGTTGTGCTCTATGTTCTAAAAAATTCACTTTTTTCGAAAGAAGACATCATTGTAGACATTGTGGAGATTTATATTGTTCAGAACATTTATCAAATCATATTTCATTAAACTTGAATGCAAATTTTACAATGGATTTTTCAAATTCTTTATTATGTAAAGTTTGTGATTTATGTATTGTGGAATATGAAGGTTTTATAAGAGAAAAATTGGGGAGTTTTAATTCAACTAGTGTTAATGATAATGAGGATGGCAATAATGATAGTAATGTTAATGTTAATGTTAATGGTAATGGGAAAGATAAAGTTAATGGAAAGAAGAAGGATAAAAAATTTGATAGTTTTGTTGGTTCAATACCTGCAGATTGGAGTTGGAGTTCATTTTAAAGATTATATTATATGATAAAAATGTTTTATATAAATTACAAATATTATTTATTAGAATATACAGAAAACAAAATTAATGACTTATGATTAGTATAAGTGTTCTTATTAATGAATGAATGTAGGGGAATAAATGTTGGTTATTATTCTTGTTGTTGATCATGAACTCTTCTTTCTCTTAAAGTTTCTCTAATCTTATCACTTAATCCTGTTGAACCATCATTTGATTCACCTAATGAACTTAAACTTGTTGAACTTGTTGATGAACTTAAATTATCACTTTCAACATCTGAATTATTTGTGAAAAATTGAGTATTTTCTAAAATTTCTTGTTTTGTATTTGCTAAATTTTCAATTTCTTTTCTTTGTAATTTTCTTGTTTTTTTACTTAAAATTCTTCTTTTTCTTAATTCTCGAGTTTTTGCATCTTCTTCTTTTTCAACATCATGATCCAAGGATTGCCAATTTGTTAAATGATCAAAATCTGGAAATAATTCAGGTCCAAATTTATTAACAATTTCTACAATTTTTTCAGCTAATTCTTTTCTTTGTAATTTTAATCCCTTAAGAATTTCTGGACTAACAAGTGAAAGATAAACAGGTCTTAAAGATTTGAAAATATCCATACCTGTATCACCAAATATTAAAGCACTATATGTAACAGTAGCACTTGCAATATAAATCACAATAAATGTAGAAATTCGTGAAAGTGAACTATATTCTCTAAAATACCAAACTCCAAGACATGAATAAAAAATGTATAATAATGGTGCAAGACCAATACCAATTAAAATTTTCCAAGTTGCAACAACATCATTTGCTTTGATTTTAACAAGTGAATTTGCTAAAGCTTCAGATTTTTTCTTATTTGAATATGCTTTACCAATTATAAAAACTGGTGTAAATAAAACAATACCTGGTAATGATAAAATTAATAATAATAAAAGTTTTATAGAACGATGAATCAAAATATATGAATTTTTCAATAAATTAACTTGTGCAGCATTATTAACTTCATGATCAGGTAAATGTAATTGTTTTAATTTTTCGTTATAATTCATAATTTTTTCTCTTAATTCAATAATTTCTGGATGTTCTTTAAAATGATTATAACCAATAACTAATCTTCTATTAATTTCCACAATAAGTGGGATTGGTAAAGTTTTTTCATTTGTATATAATCTTCTTGCAGCTTGAACAACCATTAAAGTTTCATAATCTGGACATGTAACAGTAACTGCTTTTAAACCTTGAGTAATTGTATCTAATAATTCTTGGACAGCTTGTTTATGATTTTCAGGATCTTCATATTGTTTAGCTAAATGTTTTGGAATTTCAATTGGATGACCAAATTCAACCACTGCTCTTGATCTAAATTTATGAGGATGGAAATAATTCATACCACATGGAATGATTTTAACATTACAATTTGGATCATTTGCCATTGCCCCCAAGGCCATTATAGCAACACCAGCTTTTAAAGGTAATAAATCAGTACGATCATGAGAACCACCTTCTGGGAAAATACCAATTGAATGACCATGAGACAGATGTGCAAATACTTTTTTATAAACTTCACTTTGATCAACTTTATCAGCTAGTTTAAAAGAAGTTTCAGGGAATTCTTGAAACTGTTCAATTGCAGGTTTTTTAAATTCTTTCTTAATTAAAAGTTTTTCATCATTAATGATTTCCAAAATTTCTGCATTACCTTTTGAACTGGGTAATCCAATTAACCCTTTAACAGTAGCTTCTAAAGTAAATTTTGTACCTTTACCAATAATTTCCAATGGTTTTGAAACATCATAAGATATGGTTCCTGTTGCTTTTCTCAAATTATCTTGAGGTCTTTTAACACCAATAGTCATTGCAAAACGAGCTAAATGACCAACACCAAATACTTTCATTGATTTTTCAGCTATAAGGAAACTAACTCTTTTTTGAGATTCATTCTTGACTTGACCCATCAATATCACAGGATCAACAAATTGATTAGCATGAGGAGCTGCAACAAAGATACAAGGACCAGTTTTAGGGATTCTAAACGCGCCTCTAGGTCTTATTTCACGAAAGAAACAATTGAAAATTTGACCCATAAGCCAAACAAAAAGATCATAACCTAGTGTAGTAAGGAACGAGGGTTCTTTATAAGGATCATCCTGGAGTTCATGAGCTTGTTTTGACATGTTTTTAACGTGGCGGATGTGAATTGGAAGTTGTTGTTATTGTTTTTAAGGATCAATCATTTTAAAGAAAGCTCGTGATAATTTTCAAAATGTTGGGAGAAGGCCAAAAAATTTAAAGTGAAGAAAATGAAAATGAAAATGAAGAGGAAGGAAATCAATTGTATTTAAACAAAAACTAAAATGTAAACAATGGGTGGCAAATACTTCAGCGGCTAATTTATCGACATGTCACGATCATCAACTGCAGCACCTGTCAAGTCACCATCAACAAAACAATCAACAACGTCATCATCAACATTGATTAAGCGCCTACAGTTCCCCATTCCCCACATAAACAATAGACAATAAACAAATTAAAACACAACAAAATCGCACAATCAATGAACCGATGAGAAACTGATATACCAGTGTCTCCCCGGTCTATTAACACCCCTTCGATTCCTTGGATCAACACTTTCTTTGTTTTGTTTTTGGGTTCAACAGTGGTCTTTGATTGATTCTTTGCTTTGTCGTTGATTACTTGATCATTTTTTACCCCAGTTACACATTTTACAAATTATACATCAGTAAAAGGTGTTCAACTTTATAAAAGGATGGTTATATCCCTGAAATCGATATCTGGTTGATGTTTGGCTAATATTGGTTTTGGTGTTACTGGTTTAGATTTAGGTTGTACTGGTTGTTTTGTTTTGCTACCATGGAGAAGAATATTGAGATACAAGATCATTCATCAAATGAACAAACTTTCGTTCAACAAGATGGTATAATTGATAAATATCATAAGAAATATATCCCCAGATATAATGATTTCCTAAAAGGTCAACCTTTATTATGGTCAATAACTTTATGTTGTCTCCAAGCTTTCCTTTTATTAGGTTATGATCAAGGTGTTATGGCAAATGTTATAGGAAATCATTCTTTTAATTCATATTTCAACAATCCTGATGCAAATTTACAAGGTGATATAAGTGCTACATATGATTTAGGTTGTGTATTAGGTTCAATAATTGCTTATTTTGTTGGTGAACCTTTAGGACGTAGGAAAATGATTTTAATAGGTGCTACAATTATGATTATTGGTACTATATTCCTTGGAGCTGCTACAAATGTTGGAATTTTCATCACAGGAAGAGTTATTACCGGTGTTGGTAATGGTATGAATTCATCAACTGTCCCAATGTTACAAAGTGAATGTTCACCTGCTTTAAACAGAGGTATGCTTTTAACTCTTCAAGGAACTGTTACTATATTGGGTTTAGTTATTGCTTATTGGACAGGTTATGGTACAAGTTTCAATACATCAAGTTTCCAATGGAGATTCCCAGTTTCTTTTCAAGCTTTTTTCGCAATTTGTTTAGTTTTACAAGCTATTTGGTTACCTGAAAGTCCAAGATGGTTAATTGCACATAATAGATCCAAGGAAGGTCAACAATTAATTGCAGATTTAACTAATCAAGATTTTGATTCAAATGATGTTGAATTGAAAGTTTTGGATATTCAAATGGCTATTGAAGAAGAAAATAAAGATGGTCCTTTTAAATTTAAAGAATTTTTCGGAATGGGAAAAATTCAAAATTTTAGAAGAATTTGTTTGACAATCTTTTTAATGATTGTTCAACAATTTAGTTTCAGTAATGGATTAAATTATTACAATCCAATTATTTATAAAAACACCATGGGGTTTACAGAAAATATTTCCAATATATTAGGTGGTTGCACAGCCATAACTTATTTATTAGGTTCATTTATACCAGTTTTCGTAATGGATAGATTTGGAAGAAGAACACTACTACTATTTTCAGTTGCTGGTTTAAGTTTCTGCTTTATTATGGTATCTATACTATTATCTTTGGAAGGGAATAGAAATGCAGCATGTGGAGCTGTAGCATTTATTTTCCTCTTCCAAATATTTTACTCTATTGGATTGTTACCAGTCCCATGGTTTTATGGTTCAGAGATAAACATCACAAGATTAAGATCAAGAGCATGTGCTATAGCATCTGGATGGAATTGGTTAGCAGTTTATGCAATTGTTAAAATCACTCCAATTGCAATGGAAAATTTAGGTTGGAAATGTTTTATTATATTTGCTATATTGAATGCTTTTTTCATTCCAATAATTTATTTATTTTTCCCAGAAACTGCAAATCTTGAATTAGAAGATATTGATTTAATATTCTATAAAGGTGGTATAACAGGTGGTGTTTGGTCAACAAAGGGTAAAACTATTGAAAAAAATGCACATTTTAAGAAAGATGTTGAAGGTTTTAATGAAAAACCAAATGACGCATTTATTGAAGATGTTTCTTTGCAAAAATAATGTTTATAATGATTGAATTTAATAATTGTTTACAAATCAGCTGGTCTGATTTGATTGATATTCTTAATATCGAAATTGTAGTTATTTATTCAACTAATCTAGGCATACATATTGATAACTCAAATAAATGGTTCAATGAATTGGATATGAGACTGAATTGAGTATTCCATTCCTGGTAAATGTCGAATAATGAGATAAGTTTAACTTAACATTTATCTACTACATGAATTTTTTTAAAAATGACGTTATAATAATTAAAAAAATAAAGATATCCTTCTAGTTCATGTGGGTTAATTGATGGATTGATATTTAAAGTAAAATATTTGATGATAAGTTAATGCGAAATGAACTAAAGTTTTAAGCATCTCTGAATTGAAAAAGTATAATTGCTTCAAAAAAAAAAATGAAATTCACTTCAATTCCCAAAATAATGAAATCACATGAATTTTAACGTGATAATTCACTTATGTTATCCTCTATGAATATAACAGAATATATGTGAACATATGGTATTAAATGACACTTATCATAGTTTTCATGAGCTAATAATGTATCTTTGATTATCCTCTCAATAATTTCGATTTGGTCACTTTTCGGCAACATGAATACCTCAAGGTATTTTTCATGTTTAAATAGCACACGCTCAATTGAATTGTAAAAAACATCAAGTTCATTGATAGTTTTCAAGATACCCGGTTTAATTTTCTTTATTGTTTCTGATGATGATGCCCTTTTAGTTTTGGCCAGATGTTTTGAATTTTTAAACAACAGTGTTATATTCTCTATATTCTCTAAATCAACAAGAGGCTCAGCTGGGAAAATTGAATCTAGATACAGATCTATTCTATCTGAAACTATCTGTTCAATGAAATTTGTGCATTCTCCACTGAGATCTGTATCAAAACAATCTAAAATCATTGATGAAATCTCACTTTTCAATTCATCAACACGGAAAGTGGAAGGGTAAAACGATCTGCTGAAATCAACACCATCTGAATATGTAATAGCGTCATCTATTGAAAATTGTTAGTTGATCTGCAACACTGCAATAAAATTTTTTTAATTGGTGTCAATATTACCAATAAAACACCTAATATCTTCCTCTAATGATTTTACAATTTCAATATCATGGAAAACACCAACTTGTAAGAGCATCTTTAAAATATCTTGCAACAGTTAATAAGAACGACGTCAAGACTCTCAATAATTAATGGGACAAAAAAAAAAAGTAAATAATATTAAGCAAATGTAATTTTCCAAGTAATAATTGGTATAAATTGGTATATTTTTGAAGAATAATGTAAAGCAATTAATGAATTAGTTTTTTTTGAGATAATAAATTCTATCAGCCAGTATATATAGCTAATGATTTGATTGTGTTATGAACTTCAAAAATCAACAACCAAACTTGGACATTGTCTTGGGAAAATCAAAAGTTACACATTTATAAAGTAAAACCAAATGTTTTTTTGTTATGACACAAAAACCAAAAAATAAACCAAGGATATGATTACATAATAGAGACGCTACGTATGACTAATCACAATAACAAATTTTATATTAATTATTCTAAATTATTTACTTTGTGATTTTGGTTTATTCAATAAAGTCATGAGTGGTGTATACTGGTAAAGCTTTTGAAATACAAACCAAAATCTCGGTCTAAAGTCCATTTCCACTTTTTTAAAATCAGGAATCCCAGTTATGAATAAAGAAGTATCAATCGAACTGCAATGTTCTTCACTAGACATAATTTCAATTAGTGACTTGATGATTGATTTTGTATCAGCTTCACTTGAGAATCTTCTACTTAAGATATTAATCCGGAAAGGTAAAATCTTATGATAACCAGCAACGTACCCAAAATCATTGTAATACTCATCCATATTGAATGTTTTATATTTTCCAAAAGCTTCAGCCAATTTCTTATATGGGTGTTCTTTTCTTATTTGATTTGGTAAATTAATGTTTATCAAATCTTTTCTTTCATTTGAGGAATATGATTTGAAAAGTTGGCTCAAGTGAGTTAATTCCTCATGATAAACCTTAGTAGGGAATGTGCTATTAATCTGTTGAGAAATTCTGTCAGAAAAATATTGTTCAATGTCATGGTAAACAGAGTTTGGACCTTGCCATCTATCTCCATCATATACCCCGTTATAATGTTTATACACATATAACATGTCATCTGCTTCAACTTGGAAATTTTTACATAAATTATCAGCCTTCATTCTTCCAGCCTTTTTCAATGAAAGATCTATTTCTGAACCTTTATTTAACATCAATTCTTGATATCCATTTAATATAGAGACATCAATGTTTAAAGACTTAATGGAATCTCTCAATTTTGATTTTGGATTTGGAAGGATGTTATTCAAGAAAAACATAACCTTATCATATTTTGTAATCAATGTCCCTTCAAACTTATTTGGTTTAGCAAGCTCTTCAGGTTCCCATTCATCATAAGTTACATCTAAAAACTCATATTCATATTGTAAACTTTCCAAATGTCTCTCATAGATGGAATAAGAATCATATGGACGACTTTGGAAATCAGGACCATATTTCAAAAAGCAAGCATCATTTTGTTTCATTCTTTCTGTAGAGCTTAAAACAAGTAATAATTGTAAAGATGAAAACTGCTTATAGGCCACTGGAGCTAAATTCTCATAGAAACATTGATTAAGTGGAAGTAATTCATTATGAACACCACCTTTTTTCATAATCAACACCCAAATTTCCATTGGTAATGGTCCCAAATGTGATTTTTCAGTACAATCTGTAGTCCATATTGGAAGATCAAGGTTTGTTGAGCTGTAAGTGATTGATGAAGAAATATGACTCTTGGAATAATCTTTTGAGGCTTTATCTGAGAACGGCCACATAAAGACAGCTTTGACCATGTTGATGAGCTTGAGAATATAATAAATAACTGGGAAGAACATTGCTTGTGATCTCCAAAACAATATTAAGAGTGGTCTCACATAACCTAATCTGAAATTGTTATTGAAAAGCCATTTATTTATGGTATTGTCTTCATTATGATATAACCAGTTAAAAATCTTTGGATGGTTCTTGAAAAGGTAAGAAAAAGTGTAATGAAATATTAGTGAGAATATGTATTCTGAAATCATGACTGTATGAATGATAATAGAGTAGTATGATTGTTTTGATATCTAGCTTCAAATTTAAGTAGTTGGCAAGCTTTAGTAAAAGTGTTTCTGAATAATATGATACAATTGAAGTGTTTTAAAAAAAAGAAGAAGAGCAGGACTTGATACTCAATTTATAATATTCTTGAAAGAACTTTATGTCATTCCTAAATGAATTTGAGAATTGGATTTCCATATTTAAGCACTTATTTGAGTTTTTTATTATTCATTTGAGTTGTTCATGTTGCGTCATCTTCTAAAAGAAATCCGGGCCACTTAAAATGAGTTAATTGAAGAGACTAATGGTTTTGATGATTGTGAGTCAACGAGTTTCAAATATTGATTAATGATGGTCATTTTGGAGTAAAAACTTGTAAGTTAATGGAAAGATCTTTGATTTTTATTCAGGTTGATGTTATTGCATTGTGTCCCGTAACAAGTATTTGACTACGATTACATAATCAATATAAACAACTTATTTTTAATCTCAACAAACTTGACATTACTTTCTAAACAGCCACCAAAACATTCTCAGGCATCCATGGCTTATGAAGGGGCAGAATATCAATTGATAATGCTTCATCTCGCTAATTACTGCTAATATCCAGTTTATTCTCATTTTAAAGTCTCACCAAAACTTAATTTTTTGAGCTCTTTTTCATCGGTTTATACTTGATCATGATTTTGAAAATGAGTGCTTTATAGCACTTTTGGTTTGGTTGATTATTTGTTTTCTGTTCAAGATGGTTGGTAATGTTTTCTGTCTAGGGATAGATGTATATAAGTTGGATAAGGATCCTTCTTTTTCATAAGACTTATTTTATTTTAAATTCTTCAGTTTTATTAGATATAGATACCAAAGATTATCAAAGCTATAGAAGTACAACACCCAACATATAACATATAACAAATAACAAATATCAAATATGGTCCAAGGAAAACATATAAAGATCGCGTGTCAGGTCTGTATTAGAGGCCATAGAACCAAAACATGTAACCATTTATCCAGCATTAATTCAAATGATCCAGAATATGATGGCTTCAGAGGTTGTTTAGAAGTCATACCTAAAAAAGGACGAAGGAAATCAAGAATTCCAGATCACATTGGTGGATTTAAACCGGGTCAAGTAACATTAAATCCTAATAATGATAAATTTATCTTGGTTGATGCCAAATTAGTTCCAAAACTTAATGAATGGTGTCCAAATAGTAAAAATTTCAGATATGAATGTGCTTATCCTTGTTGCAAAAAGAAACCAACGGAGCTATACATTAACGAGGAATTTTCTAGTTTTTTAAGAGTTCCACAATATTGTGATCTTAAATCAATTGAAGATGCAAAAAGAATTGGTATACCTGTTAGTTATAAAGACTTACCAATTGATTTTTTGCATACGGATGTGAATTTCCATTCTATTGGTAAACTTTATCCAGATAAATCAGATTATCCAAATCAATCTATTGGTGAGGTTATCAATGCAAATCCACAATCAGTTAACATTCCAGTATTACCTCAAGAAGCTCAATCAAACAACAACACAGATCTATCAGAATCAATCAGTAACAATCCAGTCACTCCATCTTATAGTGAAAACTTGGATTATCAACACTCTAATTCTTCAACAACTACTTCATTAAACTCCAACTTCAATGGTGACACTAATCAATATTTTAATAAGGATCAAAATAATCATCAAAATAATATTTATCACAATAGAAATTACGTTGACAATTACATTAACGGTTACATCGATAATCATCACAATGATAATATTATAGATCATAATAATCAAAGCTTTGATGTGAATGGTTTAAACAATACTACTCATTATAATAATACAGCAGATGACAATCAACTTTCGGTACTAGGTACTTCAATTTCAACAAATTCGAGACCTCATCAACCATCATTTCAATCTAATCCAATTGTTCCAAGCACTTTTAATAATTCTACAACAACCACTCAGCAGTTGAACCTTGCTCATGGAGAGCCATGGAAGGATAATGATTTTGGAAGTGATGATGATGATGGAAGTGATGATGATGAAAGTGATGATGATGAAAGTGATGATGATGAAAGTGATGATAATGAAAGTGACAATAATGAAAGTGACGACATTGAAAGTGATGAATACAGTGAATTCAGCGAAGACCATGAAGAAATTGAAGAAGATAGTGATACAATCGTGGGTAGTGACGATGATGATACCATTATGGGTGATGATGATGCAGAAGAAGAAGAAGAAGATAAAGATAATGATGATTCTACTAACAATAGCCACGATGTTGACGATGACGAGGATGACGAAGAGGATGACGAAGAGGATGAAGAAGATATGCCAAAATTCTATATCAGTCAGGAACAACAGGTAAAATTAAATCTTGCTAGAAGATTCAGACAACTTTTGAGAATCAAATCAGCACTTCAAAACCCTTATTCAAATGATATTGATAATCTTGAATTTTCATCTATTTATGATGTCAATAAGGAAATTCGTATCGTTGAGGAAAAAATTGAAGTTTCAAAAGGGAAAAAAGGGAAATATCACCAATCTTTGAATAATGTCATATCAACAAGTAACACTTTACGTAACAATGTTCAAAATGGAAATGGGTTTGGGTCTTCTAGATATAGCTCTATGTTTGTTAGTCAACGTGAAAAATTGAAATATGTCAATTATAATTCAAATAGAGCACATCCATTGATTCCAACAAGTTCTTACGTCGATAATTATGATGATAATAGTGGAGATAGCTCTCCAAATCTCACGGATACAGATGATCCTTCATTTAATGTTGATGATTATATTGATAATGATGAAGATGATCTTTAAATATGTTTTGTTAATAATTAGTAATACATAAATTTTGTATTTTGATCTTAAATGATTGTAATTATCTACGACTTACAACATCAGACGTGTTGATTCTTTAGGATTTAAAACAATAAGTATATTTATGTTAGATAACTTATCAAAAGTTCGCGAATTGCATAGATTATGCATATGATAAGCTCTTATCAACAACAATAAACAGTACATAGTACATACTACATCAATTAATCAAATTGTAACACTATATCAAATTAATGATATACAACTTCAATTATATTCAACATTTGATCTCTTTGATTGTTATTCACATTGAGATGAGTTTTGGTTAATTTGTACCATGTATCTTTGAACAACTTCAATAACTTATAGATATCATGGATTTAAATTTTAATATATCAAAAATTATAAAAATCTTTATACTTGTTTTTAAGTTTTATTATTGGTTATATATGTAATTTTTTGGGTTTATAGTTGATTTTCTTGAAAGATTGAATAAAGAAATAAACAAAGACTGAAAACTGTACTATAGTATAACTGAATAACTAATATACAACAGAACGATATGTGAATTTCTTAGTTCATAAGCTTTTATATCATTTGATCCACTTCAACAATGATAATCAAGACCAATTGATAGCTTTTTTTTGGATTTTTATTGTATTTTTTAATGATTGACTTTTTTTGGGTTTTTTTGGTGAGCTTCAAAACTCAAAACAGAAACAATAGGGTGAAGGGAAATATATCAGGGTATAGTTAATAAACAGCAGTAAAAAAGGAAACAACTAGTAGATGAAGCGATATGTGATTTAATAATAGTGAATAAACCAAATTGGAATGGTGAAAGTTGCATGAACTAGCTGTGATCAATTGTTATTAAATTTGGAACGATTTTGAATAGCATTAATAATAAATTTTCTAGCAATATGATTCATTTCTGATTTTTTTTGTTTAATGTATTGAGATTTATTCAACATTTGTGGATTGAATTTATAATCTTTAAATTTGAATATTTCATAATGAATAGTTGATCTAATTGAATAATGAAATTGATGTTCAAAAAGTTCGATTTTTTCATAACTAATAATGATGTTACAATGACATTTATGATCTTTGAAGATTGCATTGACATTAGGTTGTTTAATAACTGTACGTTTCAGTTTATAACCATTTCCTTTGATAGTTTGACGATCTTCTGAAACAGATTTAACCAATTTATCAGTCCTAATAACTCTTTTCAATTCAGTTTGATAAGTTGAATCCACATTAGATTTTTTGAAAATTTTGCAATGTTTATCAAATTTAGTTATTGGACTAATTCTAAAACTTTGATCATAAGTTCTTGTTTCCACAATTTTACCATTAGAACTAGTTTTACCTTCACCATTTGAATTTTTTGGTTTAGAATGATCTTTTGAACTGTACTGTTTAACCATATTTGATCCCTGATATATCCCCATTTTGCTTTAGTTTGAAACTGAAGAGTTTAAAAACCTACTTCAATATAGTGGCAAAAAGGGAATTTCTGACTCTTATATAGATATGATGCTATGACTCTTATACCTTATCTAAACAAACAAAACTGTGGATTGATTTAAATTGTACATTTCCTATTTGGGTAATTACATATATGTTTTTCTTGGAAGGCCTAGACTTTCGAATAGTCTCTAGGTCAATTTGAAAAATGGTCCTAGGGCTCATAAATAAAGACTAACAAGTTACCTGCTATTGAAAGATAGGGAATAACTAATAACAGAAAGATATGAAGTCTTATATTAATCAATATTAAGGAGAATATTTTGTGGATTCTATAGAACATGGACATTGGATAACCATTTGATTAAAGTATTAGAACTATCCAAAAGCACACAGTGCTTGTTGAGAACAATCAAATGTAACCATATGTTTAGGTTCTAAAATATGAGCTAAAATTGTTCTTGTTGTACACGTACTGGTAGCTATATTGTTCAGTGTTTTACCAATTCACAGATGATATGAACTTTGTTTAAGCACTGATACAGAACAAGAAGCTAGCCACTAAATACTATACTTAAACAACGCTCTAATAAATATAGAGTCAACCTCAGTCAAGTCATCTTCTGATCAATTACTTTTTGTTGTTATCAATGATATCGTACCTATATCAAATAAAAAGAAAGATCCACTTTACTATGAAGATCAAGTATCGACTTCTGCATATAGGTAGAGAATCGAGATCATTTTAATAAAATCCAGGGTTCACTTTTCTTTGATATAGAAGTTAGAAGTTAGGATTTAAGGCCATCAATGTAGTTTTGTATGAGCGCCATGAGCCACTATTTTATTACGCGTTGATTGAATCTAAACTTTTCTTGACACCGATATGTCATTAAATACCCAGATCTTGAAATTTTGAGCCCGTTTTATGTTTTTGAGATTCATGGCATAAGTAATCAAACTCATCAACCGATACATAAAGTACTTGACTCTTTGACCCTTGAATTGTTATAACTTGTTTATCATGGGATGTTTTTGTTTTCAACAAGTTCTGAAGATCTACACGTTAAACTAAAAACGCACGACGCGTTGAAATTGAAATACAACCAAATAAAAAAGCATGAAAACATGGAAACATAAGCATCAAAACAACCAGGATTACAATTTATTAGAGAAATTAGAATCCATCATGGCCATTGGTAACTTGGTACACAAGATAGGTACTAAGCTTGTACTATAACATGTGATTGATAATCAATAGTTGTTTGATTTTCGATAGCCTTTGTTGATCATCTTATCAATACTCCAATAATCAATTCCCCAAACTTACAAAAACCTATGTCTAATCTCAATCAAACTACAACTGTCTACCAAAAGTAACCAAACTGTCCAAATCTGGAACCAATTTAATGGATTTTAATGGAGTGAGATTGAACTTTTGACTGCCTTTAGTGCTTAATAATCGGATTGATATTGTCTTTTCAGGAACTTATCGTAAACTTTTTGACTGTTGCATTTTTAAAGCATAACATATGCGATTAGTTACATAAGATAAACATGATAAACACGGGTTTTGAAGAGGATAGATGATAATCACGGTCTATTTTTGTTTTTGTTTTTGGTTGTTGTGAGTTATTTTTGTACTTCAGATCTTTATTATTGAATAGTACGAGATTTAGATACCGTGATGAGTTTGTTTATAAACGGTTGAATATCCTTTGTTATTGTTTATCTTATGACCATAAGGTATACCAAGGTATACCAAGGTATACCAAGGAACACCACACATCATGAGAATATCACCAAAACAATTAAGAACTGGGTTCATCCTACTGGTGACTATAACAATCACTTCAGTATTAATGTTTCATCATTATGATGATGTTTCTGAAATTACTCAAGGTTTGAATAATACTTGGAAAGATACAAATTTTACTTCAATAACTTCAAATTTGAAAATACCTAGTTCTAAAGAATTCAATGATCATCTTGAAGTTGTAGTAACTTCTGATAAACCTGAACCACAAATTAAAATTTCAAATAAACATGAATTATTCACCACTGTTTATGATATTATAAATCAACATGACCCAAAATTACCACATTTTAATAAATTCAAATCTGGTTCTAGGATACCAACATTAAGAGCTAATAAAGATAAACCAATATTCACAAAAGAGTTCTTATCACAATTCATCACAATAGATGATGATCAAATTCAACATATGCAAACATTACATTCTTCAATAATTACACAATTTGGGAACTTATCAACAACAAAAGAAGTATACAAAGGAACAGGTATTGTATATGTTGGTGGTGGTAGATTTAATTGGTTTGCACTTATGTCAATTAAAACTTTAAGAAATTTAGGCTCTCAATTACCTATTGAAGTCCTTATACCAAATATGGGAGATTATGAAGAAGAATTTTGTACAAAGACCTTACCTTCATTAAATGCCGAATGTAATTATTTACCAGATTTATTAGGTGAAGATTTAATAAATTATTTTAAAATTGGTGGATATCAATATAAATCATTAGCTATCTTGACATCAAGTTTTGAAAATATGCTTTTATTAGATGCTGATAATTTACCAATTAGTATACCTGATAGACTTTTCGATTCTGATGTTTTCCATGAGAAAGGTTTGGTATCATGGCCAGATTTTTGGAGAAGATCAACATCACCAAATTTTTATGAAATTGCAGGTTTAAAAATTCAAAACCTAACAAAATCTGGTAACCCTGTTAATGAAGAAACTTCATTACATCAATTACAAAACACTTTAACAGATCCAACTTCAGAATCAGGTCAATTATTAATAAACAAAACTCAACATTTCCAAACAATGTTATTATCATTATACTACAACATTTTCGGTCCACAATATTTTTATCCATTATTATCACAAGGTGCCGTTGGAGAAGGTGATAAAGAAACATTTGTTGCTGCTGCCCTAGCATCACAATTATCATATCATCAAGTGGGGAGATCTGTTCATGCCATAGGTCGTCATAAAAAAGATGGTCATTTTGTAGGAGTAGCAATGGGTCAATTTGATCCAGAGCAAGATTATGCAAATCATTTAAATGGGAAAGAACTAAAAGGTCCTAAAATGATGTTTGTTCATGCAAATTATTTTAAATTACATCCAGAGATTTTGAGAAGGCAAAATGCATTATTTGAAGGTTCTCAAAGGATAAGAATGTTTGGTCCAATGAAGGGGTTTACTGGGTATGATTTTGAATTGTTTCAATTTAAAAATATGGAGTTTTTGATTTGTGAATTTGGGGTAAAGATGAATACTTTTAAGAATGAAAATATTACACAAATTTGTGATGAATTGGGTGATCATATTCAATTTTTGGAAAGAACTCAGGCATGATTTATGGTATTATAATTTATGAGTAATGCATACTATATTTAGCTATCCTAATACAATTGCTAATGATATTTATATTAAGTTTAATTAAAAATTATAAATTTTTGTAAATTTGGTTATATTCTTTCGGAAATTCACGGTCTCGCTTACATAAGTTTTTCTATTTTTTAAGAAAAAAAGCTTTTCCTTGGTTTTCATTGTGTGTAAAACATAACCGTTTTGAAAATCTTGAATAAGTAAACAAATCAGATAAGATACCAGATCTAAGATCAAAAGGCCAAGGAATCAGAGAAGGATGTTAAGACAGGCTCTTCATACTTTCAAGAGACTCTCTCGTCGGAAAGAGATTGTTATCATAACTACAGTGCTGCTTTTCATTGTTTTGATTACAAGTTATATTTCATTTGATAAAGAATTAGCAACTTCTATAAAAGAAAAATTACCAGAACATATAGATAAATTAAAAGAAAATTTACCTGAAATACCAGATTTACCAGATTTACCTGAATTACCTGATTGGCCTGAAGTTTCTATACCCAAATTCTTGGGTGGTACTGAAGATTTTAAAAATCCTCAAGATTTTTACAAGACTGTTTTCAAAATTATAAATGAATCAAATCCTAATGTTCCAAAATTAGATAAATTTAAATCAGATGAAAGATTACCAAATATAAGATTTGATGAAGAAACTGATATTGAATATACCAAAGAATACTTATCAAAATTTTTAGATATATCAGAAGAACAAATCAATAAATTAAAAGGCAGTCATTCCCAAGTTATTTCAAAATTTCCTTCAAACATACCAAAAGATTTTTATGGTAAACAACAAAATGGTATAATTTATGTTGGTGGTGGTAAATTTAATTGGCTAGCAATGTTATCCCTGAAAACCCTAAGAAATTTAGGTTCAAGATTACCAGTGGAAATTCTTATACCAACTTTAGAAGATTATGAACCAAATTTATGTGAACATGAATTCCCCAAATTAAATGCTAAATGTCTTGTATTACCAGATATTTTAGGTCAAGAAGTTAATTCAATGATTAAAATCCAAGGATATCAATATAAATCATTAGCAATCTTAGTATCTTCATTCCAAAATGTCTTATTATTAGATGCTGATAACATACCAGTTTCAATACCAGATCAAATATTCCATTCAAACCCCTTCCAAGAATCTGGATTAATAATATGGCCAGATTTTTGGAGAAGAACAACATCACCAGATTATTATACCATAGCAAATATAAATATAACTTCCAAGAGAATTAAAACAGGTGTTACAGAATCAGAAAAATCTCAAACTGGGATCCCATTACATCATTTAGAAAATAGCATACCAGATCCAACATCAGAATCTGGTCAATTAATTATAAACAAAACACAACATTTCCAAACAATGTTATTATCATTATATTATAACGTTTATGGTCCAGATTATTATTATCCTTTATTTTCTCAGGGGGCAATGGGTGAAGGTGATAAAGAAACTTTCCTTGCCGCAGCAGTGGCACTTGATGAACCTTTGTATCAAATGAATCAATCTCTTGTGGCATTAGGGAGATTTGATTCAAAGGGTGATTTCCATGGTTGTTCAATGGGTCAATTTGATCCAATACAAGATTATAATAAGAACAAGGGGAATGATGATACAGATCCAAGGATTTTATTTATTCATGCAAATTTCCCTAAGTTGGATCCTGTTTTAATTCAAGAAGAAAAAAAATTATTTGATGGTGATGAAAGGATTAGAATTTTTGGTCCTGGTTTAACCGATAGGATTGGTTATGATTTTGAATTTACTCAATGGTTAAATATGAAAATTTTATTATGTGAACAAAATTTAGAATTTAAATTGTTTGAAGGTAAGAATAGACATGAGATATGTAGAGAATTAGATGTTCATTTAGAATTTTTAGATAAAACTATTGATCAAACTACAAATGGAAGAACTTTACCAAAGGTATGATAATAGTTGTATAATATAGTGATGATCAACATGCATTTTAATTTTATAGATATATATAGTACAGTTTTAATTTATTAATAGATATTATTATTTTGTAAGTGGTGTGTTCTGACATCAAGCCTCTAATTCACCAATTCTTGCATTATCTTTAGCATCTATAATCATTCTTTCTTCATTATTTAATTCATTAATTTCAGCTTCTTCTTCAGCTGATAATTTATTAAAATCCGGTGGGATTTCATTCATTTGAACACTTGGTGCACCATTTAAATATCTTAATTCTTCCAAAATTTTAATACGAACATTTTCTAAATATTTTCTTGAATTTTTATTATCTAATTTATCACCTAAATTTGGATGTAATGAACAATCTGGATTGAAAAAATTTCTAAATGGTAAAACATCTGGTAATTTAGAATCTAATGTAACATCTGTTAAGATACTTGTTTCATAACACCATAATCTTGATACATTTCTTGGAGTATAACCACCTCCACCTAATACTAATAATGGTAATCCAAAACTCTTGATAAATTTAACACATTCACCATGTGCTTTTATATTCAAGTTAAAACATCCTAATCTATCACCACCAAGAGAATCAGCACCACATTGTTGTACAATAACTGTTGGCTTGAAATTTGTTATCAGTGGGTCCATAACTGATTTGAAAAGCCGTATATAAGATTCATCATCAATCCCATCATTTAATGGTACATTTATAGCATAATGTTTCCCTCTACCAACACCAGTTTCATCAACATTACCAGTTCCAGGGAAAAATAATCCATTATATTTATGGAAACTAACAGTCATAACACGATCTGTTGTATAAAAAGCTTCTTGAACACCATCACCATGATGTAAATCAATATCTATATATAATACTCTTGGATGATATCTTAATAAATCCAATATAGATAAAACAATATCATTAACATAACAAAATCCACTTGGTTCTGATTTTTTAGCATGATGTAATCCACCAGACCAATTAATTGCAATATCTGATGCTCCACTAATTAATTTTTGGGTAGCGTCTAATGAAGCACCTGTATAAATGGAACTATAATCATAAAACCCATCAAATACAGGACAATCATCACCAATATTGAATTCTTTTAATAAATTTGAATATTTTGATACATTATCAGGTGTAACTTTTTGTAAAAAATCAATATAATCTTCTGAATGAAATTCTAATAATTCATCTTTACTAGCAGCTTTGGGTATATATAAATCCATTTTTTCATATAATTTATAACCAATAACTAAATGATCCGTAAGCATTAATCTAAATGGTTTCATTGGATGTTTTACACCATAATGATATTCAGAAACTTTTGGATTATAATGATATGATACATTTGGTGAATATATGCTATTTGCCTGATAAACGGGCGTTTTTTCTTGGGTTTTCCTATCTTGAAACAATGTCTCCTCACTCATATTATCATTTCTATGTGATATTATTCCTCTAATCTCTTCTATATTGTATTTAATGTTACCAAATTGATGGTTAATTTGATTATAAATTTGGTTTTAATTTTGGTCTTTTTTTGTTGTTTACAAAAATTTATGAATGAAGTCGGAATTTAAAAGTGAAGTCATGTGATAGAAATGACCGGAATTGGATTCCTTAACTATGGGAAATTGGATTTAAAAGGGAATTGTGGGTTTTAAAAAGGGTATAAATTTGGTTTAAAGTGATTTATATATCAATTAAGATGGTTTATTTATGAATATGTTGTTAAATCACCCAGTTTATAGCTTTTTTCTCTTGAAAACTCTACTTTCAATCAAATCCTCTGTCAAAATCCACCGTGCAAGTCTGAAATATCCCGCGAATTCAGTTCAACAAAATCAATATCAGTGGCAATTTGAATCAAATAACTACCAGAATCAATAGATTTCAACAGATTCAATATCATACAAATCAAGATCAATTGAACCATTTTAAATCATGTCAGGAGCAGCTGGTTTTGATAGACACATCACCATTTTCTCACCAGAAGGTAGACTTTATCAAGTTGAATATGCTTTTAAAGCTATAAATTCTACAAATATTAATGCAATTGGTATTACAGGTAAAGATTCAGTGGTAATTATATCACAAAAAAAAGTTCCTGATAAATTATTAGATCCAAAAACAGTATCATATATTTTCCAAATAACTCCATCAATTGGTCTTGTTGCAATTGGTTCAATTGCTGATGCAAGATCTCAAGCATTAAGAGCAAGAGCTGAAGCTGCAGAATTTAATTATAAAAATGGTTATCAAATCCCTGTTGATGCTTTATCTAAAAGAATGGCTAATTTATCTCAAATATATACACAAAGAGCTTATATGAGACCTTTAGGTGTTTCATTAACTTTTATTTCTGTTGATGATGAATTTGGTCCTTTATTATATAAAACTGATCCTGCTGGTTATTATGTTGGTTCCAAGGCAAATGCTGTAGGACCAAAACAACAAGAATTAACAACTGCATTAGAGAAAAAATATAAAAAAAAAGAATATTTATCAGGTGATTGGAAAGAAATTGTTGAAGCTGGTATTATTACATTTTCAAATACTTTAAATACAGAATTTAGAAAAAATGATATTGAAATTGGTGTTGCAATTAAAGATAAATTCTTCACTTTAACACCTGAAGAAATTGATGAACGTTTAGTTTCAATTGCAGAACAAGATTAATCTCATGTCCCCTGTGCCTCTCTCTACTACATTATATAAGTACAGAAATAAATGTATATTAGAATTTACTCCTAATGTAACAATATTACAAATTAATTATAAATGAAGTTTGATGACTTTTAATACCACCTTTCTTTCTAACATAATCTTCCGGATGAATTCTTTTAATATGTTGTTGTTTATGAGTTGAAGATTTTGGACCTCTAAAAATTCTTTGACAATGTTCACAAATTTCTTCTAAACCATCATCTGCAGTGGTAAAACCAGCATTATGTGGGATTCTTCTACCACCTGGAGTTGTTGGACGACTTGAATTACGACTTGAATTGGTTGAAGTTGCAGTATAAGGTAAATGAGGTGGGGGTGAAGATATTGGAGTTGATGATATTGTTGATGATAATTTTTGGGATAATTCAGGGAATCTTAAATTTGTTATATCTTGATTTGAATAATTATAATTAAAAGCTCTTGTTGCAATAGGTGTTGAAATTGATGATTTAGATGGGATTGGTGATGATAATGATGATAATCTTGAGGAAGAATTTTGAAAATGTTGATTTTGTAAATTTTTTTTATATTGTAAAGATTTTGTTTGTTGTTGTAATGTTGTTGATTGAATTCCCTGTGGTTGTTGTAATGAAGATTGAACTTTTGGAATTTGAACTTGTTGATGAGGTTGAATTTGTTGATAAATTGGTACTTTTGGGATTGGAACATTTAAACCATATAATATACCATTTTTTTGAATTGTTAAAGCAGCTTCCGAAGAAGTCAACATTGAATTTCTTATAGCATCATCATTAAAATGTTTAACCAACGTTGCTTTTGGTTTATCAGTGAATATAGAATCTAATTCTAATAAATCATGTTGTGGTTTTAAATTTGATTCAATTTTGGGTATTTTACATTTTTTAGAATCTAATGGATATGATATTGTTCTCTTAAGATTTGATTCTGAGTTTTCTTGTTCTAATGTTTGCCGTATTGAAGGAACTTTATCAATAGCATCACAAAGTGTTAACACTTCAAGAGTTCTATAATATGACATCTTGTATTCTTTTGAGAACTTATAATGGGACAAAAACAAGTATAGTCCGTATCCGTAAAACTTTGGATCAACTCGACCCTCTGACTCGATGAAATTCTAGTTGAAATGATATATAGCTATGCTTCGATACTCAACTGAACTTAACAATCAGTTTTCAATCACTTGATATTAATTTGACACTTTTATAATCTTAATATTAACTTCCCAGCCTAAATTTTGTTAAGTACCAATTAAAAAAAAATTAAAAATTACATACAAATTTTTTTATGAGCCAAAAAGAGAAAAAAGTAAAAAAAAAAAGTCAAGATTCGTTACGGGACACAATGATATAAAGTGAATTTTTAAATTTATTTAAGAATTTATGAATTTATATACTTTTGAATCTAATTTTATTATTTTATAATGGTTAGGATGTATAGCTAATATTCCAGTATATGTTACTGGTTTTTTTCCTGCTTAAAAAACATATGGAATGAACAAATATGGACATTCTTTAGTATAACGTTCCCAATCTTCACCATACTTCTTTTCACATTTTCTTTGATCTCTTAAAGCTCTATGAACCAAGACAACAAAGAAGAAAATTGGGAAGAACCAAGGGAATGGAGAATTGAAACCACATGCTAACCCCCAAATTAAAGCTTGAGTCCAATCAGCTGTATAATGAATTTTTCTTGCTAATTTATACCAACCATCAATTAATAAATGTGAACCTGCTTTAGTTGTAAAATATTTTGGATTTGTCAAGACTTGTCTTGGTAAGAATGGGAAAGTTTTTCTAACTGATGTATCACCTGATAAGAATTTTCTAAAATAATTTTTTTGTGCATTTGCAGTATCAAAGAAATAATAAGCAATTAAATAAACACCAACTAATGAATAATTGTATAATGATGACCATTGATATTCACTTGGATCATGATAAATTAAATATAATGTACAATGACAATAAGTGAATGGAACACCTGCAATATTCCAAAAAATTAACATGAAGCCAAATTTTTCATAAGCCATATCCCAAGTTGGAACAATTAATTCTTCACCTTTAGAACATGCATTAGCATATAACCAATGAGCTAATAAGATAGTAGCTAATTGAGGTGATAAAAACCCATATTCTTCATATTGTTTTAAAGAAGCGGCAAATGTTAAAAAGAATAAGATATACCATGGTAATCTAACTTCAAAAAACATTTTTAAATCCAAAATACCAACTCTTGGATTTAATGGAGCACCAAGAAAGAAATCATAGATATGATTACCAGTCATACGATGATAATCATGAGAAATGAACAGAGTATAAATGTATAAAGCAATGGAAAAGACAAAACCAACAATGATGGCGGCTGTCATGATTTCACCAAATAATTCAATAATGGTGTATAATGGGAAAATACCAGTGAAATGTAAAACTAATGAAACAACAATACTTGTATAGAAGGACCACATTGAATTACAAAAATATGGTAATTGCTTATTTTTCAAATGAGTTAATGGTTGACCTTTTGTATAAACACCTGGTAAAGTATAATAGAAAGTAACTTGAACAATAATAAAAGTTAAGAAAATTCTCCAAGCTCTAAATGAAGGAACACCATGATCTAAGAAAATTTGATATAATTGTTGGATAAAATCACCATAAGTTTGATTTTTAGTTGGTAAAGCTGGAGCACCATTATAAAATTCAGCACTAATCCACATATACCACATTAACAATGGGAATCCAATAACCATTCCCAAAACACCAGGAACACCACCAAATTCATATTCGATTTCTTCTGGTTTCAAGTATCTCCCTTGTGGGAGTCCTGATTCTTTAGTCTTAGCAGCCATTGACAACTATTAATCCTTGAGCTTGTAGTCAATTGGATCTAAAAAGGTAAACAAATAGATCAAATGGTGATTTCTTCGAGGAATTTATAAAAAAACAAAGACGCGGTTCACACAACATTTGGATTCAAAAGAGGTTCCAACTTCGTAATTGAGTAACTATAGTACTAATACTTTAAACGAATCATTTTAAACGACTGTTATCCGTTTATTTAAGTAATTGTGCATTGAAAATTTGTGAGTTCTATTTTATTATTTGAGCCTATTTAATTGTACATAGCTCTTGTATTCAATTACGAACTGTTGATTTAATTGGTATTTGGTTCAAATCTCGTTTAGTTCGGAATCTAGTAAAAAAAGAATCCGATTCCGAAAGCCGGGTAAAAAGTCAAAAATTTAACAAAAAATAAAGCGCGACCCCGGTCAGGATTGAACTGACGATCTTGCGATAACCTGTTGAAAGCCGATAGCTTTTTTAACAGTCGCACGCCTTAACCAACTTGGCCACGGAGTCTTAACTTGGAAATTTTGAGTCGCTTGAAAGGCCGGGAAATACTATAGTGCTTACATAATCAAAAATTGCAATTATGCAAGTAAATCAAGTTATTTATGTTATTATTTGGGGTTTGGGATTAAAATATTGAGTTAACTGTATTATTTATCTTGTGCACTACTTGGAACTCAATATTTGGAGCAATTGTGTGTCATTTAATCACTACATTAACGATACAAGATCCACGTGTAGTTCAACCCGAAGACGTACTCCAACACAAGCTACGGAAAAAAACCCAATTCAGACGTATTTCTAAACAATTATCTGCTGATATATCTTTATTTCTGTATTAGATATAATAATCGTGTATTATTTAGTTTTTGTGTGTTATATGGGGAGTTATATAATAAGGGTCTTTGAGTGAAAACCATGAACATGATTGAAGGCACAGCATAAGTTATGCTCATGATCATGATTACTGGTTTAATTCACCAAATCAAAAGCTACTACACCTATATTTTGTGAAATTCCTTTATCCATATTGCTTCGTGTAAGCATGAAGCATCAGTATGTCAAAACTAAACAACAATTGTTGATTATATCTATCCTTCTGTGTACCGTCAATATTGGTCATGACTCGGTCATATATAAACAACCACCAGCTCAAACTCTACCCAAAATGAACCAAAAGAAAGGAAATTATGAGATTAAGCTAGATCTGAATGAAATCTATTTACTTGATAAAACCATTATCCTCCAATCTCACATATCCTTGCCAATTAAATCAAATAATTACTTGATTTTTACTGACACGATACGGTGTACAGACAAAACTCAATTTTTCTCAAATCAATAATGTGATCTTTCCATGAGATCTTTTTTGAACAGAAAACATGATCTCATCAAATGACTCAATTGAACGCTATGATGACTATGGGATAAGTGAGAAAATTAAACTCTGAAAGGCAATCATTACTTTCTGTTTCATGATGACTTCATTGTTTTGAACTTGAGGTCTTAATTGGAGCTGGACTTTTCTGTTCAATAATAAACAGCTACTCAATATCAATTATCTGTTTAATCAAAAAATTATAAAAGAGATGGGAATATCCTGAGACTTTCCAAACTTCTATTCACTCTCTTCTTTTAGATTCACTACTTACTTATACTTTGAATTATATATTAAACAAATTATAACTATAACAGCAAACAACAAATAACAAAATGCATTTCAGAAACATTATTTTAGTATTAACTTTCGTGTTGATCATTGGATATACAAACGCTATTCCAATTCCATCATCAAATTTAAATTCTACCATTTCTATCAGTTCAGTTGGTGATAATATACCAAAATTACCAAACATTTCTGTTAATTATGGCTCAAAATTATCTGATGTTGAAAATCCTATTGATCATTATAGAAATTATGAAATTAAACCATTAGGTGAGGGTATTTGTGATTATTATAATCAATCTTTAATTGATGATGCTTTAGTCAATGATAATATTAATTTAGTTGATAATGAATTGGTTGATTTTGATAAAATTTCAGATTCTTTAAAATTTGATGATGTTAAAAATGGTACAAATTATGATATTGTTATTGGAAATCCTTATAAAGATACTAATACTATTTTGGAGGAAAAATTTACCATTATTTTCAATGAAACTTCAGTTGCTATTATTGATTTGAATAATAATGTTCAATATCTTATTGGTGAACTTTCAAAACCAGTTACCAAGACTTATAATAGATTAGAACGTGAAGGTTATTTAAATCCAGATACTTATACTGAAAAATATAATAAGAAATCCAAAACATTAACTACATTGATCCAAAGAATTATTAAAGATGCTAAATTTAAACATGAATCTGATGTTCAAAGAAGACATGATCGTAAACAAAGATGGAAAAATCGTAAAGCTGAATATGATTCTTATAATACAACTTCAGAATATATCGTTGATAAAGTTACTGAAAAGGCTACAAATTATTATTATAGACATGATCTTGACGCTAGAACTCATCCACTTTATATCACTGTGAAAGTTGTTATTAGTGGACCAAAATATCTTAGATATACTAGAAATTTTATCATTAATTTTATTATTTTTAAGATCAAATTGAGTTACTCTACTGCTTCAACAACATTGGATTTATTTTTTAGATACCTTTCAGTTATGGAATGAGTTCAACTTATCAACTATATAAGGATCTATATCTATTTTAATAAATATACTATCGATTGTACCAGCTATATTGTAATTGTTCGCTAGCTGTTTAAACCTATGTTGGCTGTCTAATTTTCTTTTGCTTAGTTTAAAACGGTTCAATCATCTTGGCTCTCTTATATATGATAATCTGTCTTATTGGTTAGTATCGAGATTCCTGCTGGTCTATACCAAACAATTATATGCAACTCTTCGAAACTCTACAACGTTAACCATCATCAACGTACACTGATATCATATATTTAATACTATCATAACTGGGTGATAATTACCATATACATTCATAAAGCCTTCATTAATCAATATGGAACCATGACCACGTATGGCACCTTTTCCGTCTTCCTGACTTCTCCAGAATGATTCCAGATTATTTTTGATTAGTATTCACCACTGATGTATTCAAACGCATTGAAGATCTTGCATTAACGGGTATAAAACCAAACAAGTAATCATTTGAACATCTTTGAGCTTATGTAAAGACGGATTTATCTTTAAGGTCAACAGATCAACAGTCTCTTGCGGATATCAAAGGAACGTTTAACGTATTTATAGATGGCTTGAGTTGAGTGCATGTAAGCTAGTTAAACATGGTTTCCGATTATATAACAATTGAACATATGGCTAAAAGTTAACAGCTAGATATACATGAAGGACCTCAAAAACACCTCTAAATAGATGGAAAAGATAACTTTATACGTAGAATTGTATAGATCATTGAGTTGAATGAGAAAGGTATAAAGGTACAAGAGATTCCTCAATTTTTGAAGATGTTTATATCCTTTTTGGTTCATTATCAATTACACAAAGTAATACAAATCAATAACTTCAATCAATTATAATGAAATTCTCAACTATCTTCTCAACCGGTTTATTAGTCGCTGCTACTCAAGCTAACTTATGTTTTGATGCTGGTAAAGCTCCTGAATGTACTGGTGGTAGTTCAATCAAATGTATCCCAGCTCATAATGGTGGTCCAGGTTCTGGTCAAGATGGTACAAGTTATTGTAGCTTTTATTGTTCAAAAATTAAAAGTAAAGCTGATTGTGAAGCTGCTAAGAAAAATACAAACATTTTGATTGATTGTAACAAAGTTAAATATTGTTAAGTTGTTTCACTTCTTTAATCTTGAAAGGTGGTGGTTTATTGGAAAATGTATATGCTTGAATATCTAAATATATAATGAACCATATCATTAAGTTTGCATATCCGTAAATTTTAAAACTAGTTTCTCGATATTATTCTTATCGAAGTAACCCATAATAAATCATGACTTGGTAACTTTATTAGGCATCGGTACTTTCAACCATCCATTAATGGGACATATCTATCGATGATTGATTGTATACTACTTTGACCATAATTCAATTAATGTACATTAATATACAAACTCATAAAACTAAATCATTTTCTCATTAAAAATTCCAGAAATGATGCACCTTTTGATGATGATGATTGTTCAGGTTCTTGCTTAGGTTGTTCTTGTTGTTGTTGAACTTCTGGAGTTGGATTTTTATGTAATAAATTTAATAGATCATTAGCTGGTGTACCTGATGAAGATCTATCATGTTGGAAAGTTGGATTTGAAGGTTCAGGTGATTTATTTTTATGTAATAGACCTAATAATTCTGCACCACCTGATGATGATGATGGTTGAGGTTGAGGTTGAAACTGTTGTTGTGGTGGTGTTTGAAATTGTGGCTGTTGATATTGTTGTTGATATTGTTGTGATTGTGTAAATAAAGGTTGAGATTGTTGTGATTCTGGAGATTTATTCTTATGTAAAATATTTAATAAATCTGAACCATCTAAATTTTTATTAAATTCAGGTTTTGGAGTTAAATTTTCTGGTTGTTTATTACCATGTAAAATATTCAATAATTCAGCACCACCAGATGAATTACTTATTGGAGGTGAAGTTGGTTGAGATTGTGAAACTTCTGATGATTTATTACCATGTAAGATGTTTAGTAATTCAGCACCACCAGATGAAGTTGAAGTATTACCTTGAGATGGGCTAAGAACAGGTTGTTGTTGTTGTTCAGGTTGTTGTTGTGGAATAAACTCTTGCGAATTTTGTTTTGTACCTTTTAATAAATCTAATAAATTTTTAGAAGCATTATCCTTTTGAGGAGTTTCAATATTCAAATTTTCAGGTAAATCATTAGTTGGAGTTGTAAATTTTGAACTTGAAGAATGATTAGATTCTGTAATTGGAACATCCAATTGATTTTCAGAATCATTAGAGACGGTAGTTCTCTCAGGTATTGGTGAATTTGATTTAGAACCTTGTAATAAACTTAATAAACTATTTGTAGCTTGAGTGTTAACTGGTTGTGAGGCAACAGGAGTTTCAGATCCTGATTTTGGTTCAGTTTCAAATGGTTTGGCATCTTGTTCTTGTTCTTGTTGTGGAGTTTCAATATCAGCTCTTGAATCTTCATAATTATCATCTTCATCATCTTCATCATCTGAAAATTGAATTGTTGAAGTACCACTTGCATTATCTTCAATTACATGTTCATTATGTTCTTGCTGTGACTCTGGTTCTTGCTCAGGTTCTTTTGTTTGTTCAGATTCCTCAAATTCTTCAACATTTGATGAAACAGGTTCACTTGTAGTCTCAGCTTCCTTTTCTGGTTCTAATTCTTCAGCTTCTTTAGATTCAGGAACTTTTTCTTCTTCTTTTTCTTCTTCTTTTTTAACTGATGGTAATTCTTCACCTCTTTTCAACAGTTTAAATTTCTTTGGAGGAGCAGGAGAAGATTCACTAATAGCTGAAGTTTGAGGCTGATTAAAATTTGAACCATGATGATTTTGCTTTTTAGAAACATTTGTATTTTTAGTATTTGATAAAGATGAAGAAAATTGTGGTATAAAATCATTAACAGTTTGAGAATTTTCAATTTGATCTAATTCATCATCAAAATCATCTTTATATTCAGAATCAATTTTTTGGAAATCTGAAGGATCAAAATTTTCATTTGTTTCTTCAAAATCTTTAATTGATTTATTTGAAATTGAATCTTGATCTTGATCTTGTTCTTCATTTGTTGATTCAAATTCATATTCTTCTTCATCAGTTTCTTCAAAAATTTCAAAATCTTCAGAATTATTATTTTTTTTAGATTTTTGAATTAATTCTAATAATTCTTTACTTGGTGGTGCAGATTGATAAAAATCTTCACTTTCCGCTGATGATACAAAACTTTCACCACGAGGTTTTGATTCAAATTGTTGTTTTGGTTCTTGCTTTGATTCTATTTCTTGTTCTAATTGAATTTGTGATGGTTGATTAATTGAAGGTTTTTCATTTGAAGTATTCAAAGGTGTAATAACTTCTTCTAATTTTTCTTCTCTTTTCAACAGTTTAATCTTTGGTTTTGAAGGAGTTAATTGTTCTTGTTTATCAACCTTTTCTAATTTATTAATTTTTTCTTCTAATTCAGCTTTCTTCTCTGGAGATTTTTCCTTTTTATTTAATAAAGCTAATAAATTTTGTGAATAATCTTTAACTTCAGTATTATTATCATTATTTTTGTTTAAAATTGATATCTTTTTAGGCGTTTCACCAGTTCCAGTTTTCTTTTTATGAAATAAATTTAACAATTCTTTTGCATTATTTTGTTTTGAACCACCACTATTTAAAATTGATAATAATTCTTTACTTTGTTGTTCATTTCTTTGACGAATACCTTGAGATGGTATAGATAATTCTGAAGGATTTGGAGCATTTTGTTGTTGATGATTTAAATTATGTTGAGGGAATTGTTGATTTGGTGGTAAGATTGGAATTGGTGGATATTGTGGTAATGGGAAAGGTGGAGGTACAGCCATTGGGAAATGTGGAGGTGGAATTAATGACTTAAATAATCCAGGTGGTGGTGGTGCGAAAGGTGCAATGAAAGGTAAGTTTTGGAAACTTGGTGGTTGGAATCCATAATTTGGTAAAGGATTTTGTAATTGTTGTTGTTGTAAGAATTGTTGTTGTTGATATTGATGTTGTTGTAAATTTGCAGCAGTTAAATTTTCATTTTGATTTTGTTCATCTTTTAATTGTTTTTCAGCAGTTGATTTACGAATAAATTCTAATAATTCTCTACCTGGATCCACTTTAGCTTTTTCAGTTTGACCAATACCCAACAGATATTTCAATTGAGTTTCAACTTGTTTTTTCAATAATTTTTCATTAACCTCACCTCTATTCTTTTTAATCCAATCATTTATTGGTTTAATCATACTACTAACAAGAAAATATTTACCTGGATTATTCTTGATGATCTTGGAAGTTTTTTTAAAATCTTTCCATTCAATTTTAGCAATTTCATTTCTAACAATTGGTTGGAATTTAAAATCTTGAGGTATATTTTTAACAAGATAAATTTTATAATTTTTAGCTTTTATAGTTCTTTCAATATAATCATTTTCATCAATAAAAGGACCAATATCAAAACCAATTTCTTCTTTAACTTCTCTTATAGCACATGTAACATCATCTTCATCTTTAGAGATTTTACCTCTTGGGAAAGACCAAGTTGGAGATTCTGTCCCCTGGACCAATAACACATTTGATAAATTTTCATTAAATAAAGCAGCACCTCTCACAGGGATAGTATTTTTATAATTAACAAATTCTTTTAAAGCAGCATCTGGATCACCACCTTTCCAAATCAATGGAAACAATTCAATCAATTTTTTGGCAAAATTCTTTAAATTTAAAGCAGGTAAATATGGATTTATGGTCCTTATATAATCCAAGTAAAACCAATGAGCTTCTTCGAAAAGAAAGAAAACTCTTGAATTTGTAGCTAAATCTTCTGGTGGTGCATTGACAACAAAACGTACCAAGATGTCTTCCAATACTCTCTCTAGCGTCTGGTTTTGGAAGCCATCATTCAATTCAATTTGCAAGGGGATGGACATATGGTAGGCTTCTTTTTCTGTGTATGATTCTCTTTCTCTGTCTCTCTTTAATTGACTATTTTGATCTGTTTCTGATTTGATTTTTGATTTGATTTCATTGTTTTTGTTGTTTTTGTTATTTGTCAAATTGAACTCAGCGGTTAACAAAAAATACATCAACGCAGGGTAACACTTGAGAGTTCTGTCATTTTGTGAAGGGTATTTGAATTCATTATGGGTATTAAATCAAATGATTATTAAAGGAATTCATTTAGATCCATTGATTTATTGATTATCAAGAAGTCTTTTATTCATTAACCATGGTATTGAAAGTCGGTTACGTCCCAGAACATTTCTCTACTCCAATTGCATTTGCTCAATCAAAGGGGTTCTTTCAAAAATTAGGACTTGAAATTGAATTAATTCCATATCCTTCAGGTTCTGGACATTTAATTCAATCATTGGAAGATAATTCAATTGATATTGCCATTGGATTAACCGAGGCTTTCGTTAGAGGTATTGCACAAGGTAAAGAAAATTATAAATTGATTGGTACTTATGTTAAGTCTCCATTACGTTGGTCAATTAGTACTGGGTATAATAGAGATGATTTGACTAATGAAGATCAATTACAAGATAAATCTATATCTATTTCAAGAATTGGTTCAGGTTCTCATGTTATGTCATTTGTACTTGCTTTGCAAAAAGGTTTTACTAAACCTTTTTATTCAAATTTCCCAATCTTGTCAAATTTTAAAAATTTAAGAGATTCTGTTAATTTAAACCCAAATGTTGAACCATCAGATGCTTTTATGTGGGAACATTTTACTACAAAGAGATATTATGATAACGAAGAAGTTAAAAAAATTGGCGAAATTTATACACCATGGCCATCATGGGTTATTAATGCAAGAACTGAATTGGTTTCAACCCAAAAGGATAAATTAACTAAATTCATCCAAGCAATTGAACAAGGTATTGAATATTTCCAATCAAATCAAAGAGAATCAATTGAATATATCTTCAACAACCTAGACTATAGTGAAGAAGATGCAAAAGAATGGATCAAAACAGTTGAATTTAACAAGGGGAAAGTTGGATCAGTTGATTGGACTTTAGTTGTGGAAAATACTTCAAAAGTTCTTATTGAAGCTGGTGTATTGGAAGATCCAGAGGAAACCATTCAAACGAGATTACAAAGTGGTATTGAACCAATAACAGCAACAACTAAATAGATTAGATCATGAGTATTATAGCCTAATATTTACGTAGTATAAATTTTTGTGTCATAAATCAACGAATCGATGGAATTTGATGTAATCAATCACTCCGTTAAAGCGAATATACACTATCTAAGCAAACCCCAGAAAGACTGAGCCTAGCAACAAACTGAGCCTAGAGTAACAGAGTCAATCTGAGCCTGGGTAATCCAAGCCTAGACATCACCTGTTAAACTCCCATACACACCATCCAATTGAATCACTTCATCTTAGCCTTCTGCCTACGCTTTGTTTCTTCTTCGCCGTTGTTCATATCAAATTCCTTAACGGCGTACCTCGAGGCACTCTGTCTAGGTAAAAAGGCACGTCTTCCTAGCTCTCTGTCTGTCTTTCCAGCTCTAGGCTTCCTTCTGCCTAGCCCTCTGCCTAACCCTCTGCCCAGCTTTTTATAAGTCCGCCCAGGTCCCTCCCGCTACTCCTCACCAGAGTCAGATCCTCACAGCTGTCTGACTCAGACCATCATCTGACCGAACTTTCCATCTTATCAGAAACAATTAAAACAAATCAAATCGAATGACAAACTTCTGGATTTCTGGAGGTTTTGGAAGGTAATCAATGCTCATCATGACAAGTATATAAACAACTAGAATCCCCTTGGATTTCATTCCAATTTGATTCAATTCAATTGTTCAAAAGATCAAAGTTTATATTTAATACCCATTATACACTATGGTTTTGAAAAATTTAGATAACGTTAAAGTTTTAGGTTCAATTGATACCAAACCAAGATTCCCATCAGGTACAACTCCATCAGATTTACTCACCAAGGGAGCTTTAGAATTTGTTGTATTGTTACACAACACTTTCAATCAAAGAAGAAAAGATTTATTGGAAAATCGTATTAATATTCAAGAAAAATTGGATAATGGTGAACAATTAGATTTCCTTAAAGAAACTGAATTCATTAGAAATGATCCAACTTGGAAAGGTCCTCCATTAGCAAAAGGTCTTATTGCAAGAAATACTGAAATTACTGGACCTCCTTCTTCAAGATCAATGTTGATTAATGCTTTAAATTCAGATGTTAAAACTTATATGACTGATTTAGAAGATTCTGCTTCTCCAACATGGGAAAACATTATTTATGGTCAATTAAATTTATATGATGCTATAAGAGGTAAAATTGATTTTACAAATGAAATCACAGGTAAATCATATAAAGTTTCAAATCAACCTGGTAAAACACCAACTTTAATCCTTAGACCAAGAGGTTGGCATATGGTTGATAATCATATTGAAGTTCAAGGTGAACCAATATCTGCTTCCATATTGGATTTTGGTTTATATTTTTATCATAATGCTCATGAATTAATTAAAATAGGTCATGGTCCTTATTTTTATTTACCTAAGATGGAACATCATTTAGAAGCTCGTTTATGGAATGATATTTTCAATGTTGCACAAGATTTATTAGAAATTCAAAGAGGTACCATCAGAGCAACAGTTTTAATTGAAACATTACCTGCTGCTTATCAAATGGAGGAAATTATTTGGGAATTAAGAGATCATTCTTCAGGTTTAAATTGTGGTCGTTGGGATTATATCTTCTCAACAATCAAGAAATTAAAAAATGATTCAAATCATATCTTACCTGATAGAGATCAAGTTACAATGACTTCACCATTTATGAATGCCTATGTTGAAAGATTAATCCACATTTGCCACAAGAGAGGTGTCCATGCAATGGGTGGTATGGCTGCTCATATTCCAATTAAAAATGACCCTGCGGCACATGAAGCTGCAATGAATAAAGTTAGATCAGATAAAATTAGAGAATTAACTAAAGGTCATGATGGTTCTTGGATTGCACATCCTGCTTTAGCTTCAATTTGTAATGAAGTTTTCGCAAACATGGGTACTTCTAATCAAATTTATAATATTCCAGAATTGAAAATAACAGCTACTGATCTTTTGGATACCAAGATTCCAGATGCAAGAATTACAGAATTAGGTATTAGAGCAAATTTATTCATTGGTTTAAGTTATATGGAAGCTTGGTTAAATGGTTCAGGTTGTGTTCCAATTAATAATTTAATGGAAGATGCTGCAACTGCAGAAGTTTCAAGATCTCAATTATATCAATGGGTTAAACATGGTGTTGTTTTAAAAGATACTGGTGAAAAAGTTACACCTGAATTAACTACAAAATTATTAGAAGAAGAAACTGAAAAATTGATTAAATTAGGTAAACAGGGGAATAAATTTGAATTAGCTGCTAAATATTTTAAACCTGAGATTAGAGGTGAAAGATTTAGTGAATTTTTAACAACTTTGTTATATGATGAAATTGCTACAATTGGTGAACCAATTGATTTATCAACTTTGAAAGATTGATTTATATATTATTTGCATGTTGTTTTTGTTTATTTATAATGTCATTTATGTCTTTGATCCAGTTTTGTAGTACAAATTAACACATCCTATACTTATATCATATATCTCATACTTTCATATCTCTTCTCGATCCAATTGATCCCACCTCTTTTGACACATTCTTTTATACCCATAAATTCTCGAAACTTTAAAATTTCAAAGCCTTAAAATAAACATTCCAATGCAAAGAAACATCTCAAAGAATGTAACTCACAAAGGACTTGGTGGGAACCTACATCAAATCAACCAGCTAGCCTTGTTCTTTGAAACTAATTCATCTTGAACAGCCTGATCTGAAGTTCCTGATGATCTGTAATCCCTTTCAATTGGTATAAAGTTTAAACTCGTGGTTATCAATTAAAAAAAAGTTTCGCGTATCAAAATAGTTATGCAGGAGCTGATTGATCAAATTTCATTTAAACTTTTTGGTTTATCAAAGTGAAAATAATATTTAAAAGGTGTTTAATCAACCCTTTTTTTTTTGGTTATTCTTTTGACTTCATATGCCATTGAATAAACCAAATATATTTAAAATAATGGCTGAAGAAAACCATCTCTTACCATTCACTGAAGATGAATTGAGTGCATTTATACCACCATCTCCACGTCAAATTTTAAGAATTTGTTTAAATTTAAAATATTTAATTGATGAAATTATTCCAGTTCAATTTGATGATTCTGCAGTTTTATCAGCTGATTCACGTATTTTAAATGATAAGATTGTGAAATTAGCTTTAGAATCTGCTGGTGGTAAAGGTGATGGGAAACCAGGTTCTTCATCAAGAAAATATAGAGCTGTCTTGGTGTTTGCTTTATTAAAAGTTACAGGTTGGTATTGGGAATTAGCATCCACAGAGATTCATGACTCTGAATTATATCAATTAAGAGCCTCTACATCACAACAATTGGCAAAATTAATTATTGATCAAGAAAAAGATGATAAATATTTATTTATTCAAATGTTATGTCGTCGTTATGTTGTTAATTTAAACACTGTTGATTCAGAACCATCAAACGCCCTGGAATTAGCTGTTGATATGCATTCCACTATAATTATCGGTTCTTCAGGTTATCAAAGATGTATGAAATGGTTATGGAGAGGTTGGATTGTTCAATCTGCTAAAGATCCTCAAAGTTATGTCGTTTATAGAGATGTTGGTAAAACTTCATTTTATACTCATTTTGATCCTGAAAGAATTAAGACACCATTTTATCAATATTCATTAGAAATTTTCTTTTCATTGATTTATTTAATTTTATATACCATTGTGGTTAATCAAAGTGAAAGAAAAGCAACACCAATTGATTTTTTTGAAGGTGCTTATTATTTTTTCACTTTTGCTTATGTTTTCGATGAATTAACTAAATTATATCATGTTGGTTTAAATTATTTAACTTTTTGGAATATTTTTAATGATTTGATGTATATTATTGTTTCTGCATCTATTGGTTTAAGATTTGCAAGTTTATCACATCCAGTTGATTCTCAATTAAGTATTAGATTAGATGAAGCTTCATTTAGAACTTTATCATTAGCTGCTCCATTCATGTGGATTAGAATGTTATTATACCTAGATGCTGAAAAATTCGTTGGTGCAATGATTGTTGTTGTTAAGACAATGATGAAAGAATCTATAATTTTCTTTGTCTTGTTAATTGTGGTTATTGTTGGGTTTTTACAAGGATTTTTAGGTCTTGATAGTGCAGATGGTAAAAGAGATGCCACTACTTTAATTGTACAAAATTTAAGTAAAACTGTTCTTGGTGCTGGTAGTTTTGATGCTTTTAAACATTTTGCTCCACCATATGCTGGTATTTTGTATTATTTATACAGTTTTTTGGTTAGTGTTATCTTGTTAAATATTCTTATTGCATTATATTCTACTGCTTATAGTAATATTTATGAAAATGCAATTAATGAATATATGGCATTAGTTGCACAAAAGACGTTACGTTATATTAGAGCTCCAGATACTAATGTTTATGTTCCACCATTAAATGTTGTTGAATTGATTTTTTCACCATTTGGGTTGGTTTTATCAACAAAGCAATATCAATTATTAAATTATAGAATTATGTTGGTTTGTTATTCCCCAATCTTGACTTATATAGCTATTAAAGAAGTTCGTGATTCAAGACGTGTTCAATATAATAGAATTAAAGGATTAGCAGATGATGCAAATGAAGTTGATAGAGAATGGGATTTAACTGATGGTTATGAAGATGATTATGATGGAATTTTCTCAACAGATGGTTCCACTAGTGCAAATGATCGTGTTAATGAAGATCTAAGAGCTCAAATTTCTGCAGAAAGAGTTGATCCAAATTTCAATGTTGGTAAACAATGGTTTAATAAAGTTAGAAAAATTGCACCACCTGTTAATAGTGGTAATGATGTTGGTACTGGTTGGGAATTATATCCATTATATGAAAAAATTGATCAATTAACTAAATTGGTTGAAACTGTTGTTGAAGAAAATAAAAAATTAAAAGAAGGTAATTAGAGACCTTTACAATAAGATTTATAGATTAGCTATATTTTTTTAATACTTGGAATTGACATTTATTTATTTGTAGCTATCCAATATTCACATTTATATTTCCAACCACCAAGAGCTTTTGGATCAGAACTATAACCAGATTCAATTCCAGTTTCATGATGATTAAAATCAAACCAATTTTTGCATAATTCAATTAAATCATCTCTACTTAATTCTAAACCTTTAACAGGACTTGGTTTGATAGTACCATCAGCATGTTTTATTTCATAAACATCATCAATTTCTTCAAAATGCCATAATAAAGGACCAAAATTTATCCATGTACCATTGGGTTTTAAAGTATGATTTAAAGTTTTCAAATATTCAATTATATTTGATGAAGTATCCAGGAAAAATTGTGTTATAACTATATCAAATTGATTTTCATTAGATTTACGAAATTCAGATGCCTGTGGGTCCTGGGAATAATGTTCTGATATTGATAAATCATTTGGTCCATAAAGATCTGTGAATGAACCTGATGCAATTGACATTAATTCTCCCACCTGAATTTCTGGGTATTTAGTTTGTAATTCCAATAATTCAGTTTTGTTATGTAAATCAGGTAAATAAATTGGTCTTGTTTGAAATAATTTATTTTGTTGATTTGAAAAATTATGAATCATTGGATAAATTGAATAATGATTCTTTGTATATGAATGATTCAAAAGAAAATTTGATGCTAATAACATATGATATGAAAATTCATTCCCCTGACACCAGAATCCTCTCTTGACAAGTTCAAAATTTAATCTACCAAGACCAGAACCAGGTATTAATATTTTAATATGTTGTCTTTCAATAACCCTAGGGTATTTTGTCTCTAAATATTTCAATATTCTATTCATAGAAACATTTCTTTCATCTTCACCTTCATCAGACCATTCTCTAATCATTTGTTTTAAAATAGATTTAACTTTATCATAATCATTATAATTTGATTTTGACCAAGTTGAAGGATCTGATGAAGCACCCCAATCATTTGCCACTGTCAATGCTAAATTTCTTGTAAAATCACCATTTAACTTAATACAATGTTCCAATGATTCTATGTATTTAGGAAACCATGATAAATAAGATTGTTCCTCTGGAGTTAAACTATTCCATTTAAGTCTTTTTGGTGATAATATTTCCTTTCTTGCAAATTCTTCATAAGTATAATAAGCATTTCTAATGGTGTTAGTACCGTTCTTTTTCTATGTATACTCTCTGGTGTACTCACAGTGTCCTTGTGAGAGTATTGTACTCTTCTATGTCGGTCATTGTAAGTCAATCGATGGTTTTGAAGTTGATATATTGTGATAATTATGGTTCATGTTTACTAATTTTCATTATTAATTTTTAGATCCGATATACCAAATTTTAGTACCTGATCTCAACGAGATATACAGAATTTTAAAGAAACAAACTTCATATTACAATAGAAGTTGAATTTATGCTCATTATATCAATACACAAATCAATTGATTCATTATATGGGGTTTCCCGCTTGGAAATAACCCAACATTTACATATGTTTACTTATAAATTTCAAATTTATTCATTATATTAAGATCATATACACCAATAAAATCACAATCAAAGCATCAAGAACGCATCAAGAAAAATCATCCAAAAAAGAACAGATAGCCATAATCAATCCCCAAAAAAAAAGCATTACAGGAGGACCTATTGGACCAATTAACAATTACAACCATTATTCTCAACAGAATCATTATTAACATTCAAATCAACTCTAGCATCATTTCTTCCCTGTTCACCACTTGCAGTAACATTTTCAGGATTTGGGATTTTTTGTCCAATATTCATGAAAACTTCTTTAACATTAAATGAAGTTTTTGCACTAGTTTCCAAAAAAATTAAACCTTCTTCATTTGCTAAAGTTTCACCTTCTTCATACGCAACTTTCCTATTTGATTCATCTTCTTCGACAACATCTAATTTATTCCCTACTAATGCAATAATAATATCTTTTGAAGCTTGTTCATGTAATTCTTTAATCCAATGACGAGCTTTTATGAAACTAGCAGGTTTTGTTATATCATACACGACTAAAGCAGCTTGAGCATTTCTATAATACATTGGTGCCAAAGAAGCAAATCTTTCTTGTCCTGCAGTATCCCATATTTCAAATTTTATTGTCTTATCACCAATTATACATCTTTGAGTTAAAAATGCTGCACCAATAGTTGGTTCTTTATTTTCTTGGAAATCATTACTAACAAATCTAAGGACTAATGAAGATTTCCCCACTGCTGCTTCTCCTAAGAGGACTAATTTAACTGGTGTTATTTGTTTATTGCTCATCTTTTGTCTGTATCTTTGGTGGTTTTTGGTGGCTTAATTGGTTATTTTTGAGATAGTTTTGATAACTTTCGTCTCCCTTTAAATTGAAGGAATTCGCGGGTATATAATTGGTGTGCGGATGAATATTTATACATAGATAAGAATTAATTTAATCAAATTTCAAGTAATCTATTGGAATATAAGTTATATATATACATAAATGTAAGTGGATGAGTAGGTGTTATTATAGTTTCGGTTTCTCATTTAAATTCCCACCTTTTGTTGCATCTAAATTAATTTCTAATTTCCCATCTTCTTTAATAAATCCATCTTGTCCAAAAAACACAACAGTAACAGTTAAATCATCTCTATATTTTCTTGAAGTTGGTGATGGAATTGAAACTAATGTTGATACATAATCTTTTGAACCACCAAGTGATAAAGCATTTCTAATTAAATGAGTTGATACATTTGAATCTTCTAATAAAAATTCATGTGATTCATTTGTCTTTTTATTACGGAATGCAGGTCTTTGAGCTTCTTTATGAATTGGATTTGATAAATCTTTAATTTGTGGTAATTTTTTATCATCTTTTGTGAAAAATTTCCAACTTTTAGAGTTTAATGATGGTGAAGATTCATTAATTTTGTTTTTTTCTAACCATTTAACAACAAGTCCAACAATTTCTTCATTTGATAATAATTCATAAAGTCCATCAGAACCAATAACTAAGAAATCATTTTTGGAAGGGTTTATCTTGATTGATGTAATTTCAGGTTCTGCAGTTACATAAGGTGGTGTTAATAAATTTCTTGGAGGTTGTCTAAAATAAATTCTAAGATGTTCAGGTAATGAATCAATTGATTTCCCGGCAATTTCTTTTAATTTATATCTAAAATCTCCAAAAGCTCTTGTTGGTTGTAATGAACCCAATACTCTACCATTTTTAATAACATTTGGTTCATTTGGATGTTCTGATTGAATACGTTCAATTTCTTCTTTACTATCACCAGTTTGATCATTACTTAAACTTGTAACAGTCCATTCATTTTCTTCATTTAATGAACCTAACAATGCACGAGAATCACCTGTCACTGCAACTTTTAAAATTTGTGAACTTGAATCATAAAAAGTTAATAAACCACATGCCCCCGAGGCAGCTGGTAGGGCATTAATTGCATTTGATTTATCATTTGGATTTTCCAATAATTTAGTTAATGATTTTTGAACAATATCATAATCTAATTTTAGGAACCCTTGCTTGATAGCCAAATCAATTGATTCTTGAGTTGGGATAATTCTTAATTGTGGATTTTCAGGTTGAGGTTTATAAATTGAACCTAATTCATTAACAACATAATTAATTAAATCATCTCTTAGTTTTAAAGAAGTATAATAACCAGAATGACCATCATAAATACCCCAAAAATAAAAATCTGCATTTTCTTCTGAAGTAATTGGTACTGTAATTACAGATTCTGAACGATCATCTTCAATTGGATTATTACTTGGTAATTGAGATATATCATAACGTATTACACCTTTACCTCTATTAACATAATAACTTTCTTCTAAATTTCTTAATCTCTTGGTAATTTCATCATCATTCAATAGATATAAATTTTGCTTATTTGAAGTATTTGAATTATTATTTGATTGAGTTGTTGAGAATGATTTTAATCCATTTGAAGAAGGTAAACCTGAATCACTTAAATAATGTGAAGATAATGAAATATAAGAAGCAACGAATAATATACCTGAAGCAAGAGCAATATTTAATTCTTTCATTGATTTCCCCTTTTTTTTATTTAAATTTTTAGTTGAATTTAATAATTTAATTAATGAAGTTGAACTTGATGAAAAACAACGATTTGAATTTGATTTTAAAGAATTGTTGATTGTTGTTGTCAATAGTTTCTTTGTGGATCTCAAGGTATTTGACCTTGTTACTAATATCCTAGTCATATTGTTGTTGGATTGATCTCCTTCTCCTTCTTTGTCTGCGTTGTTCAATTGCTTTTGTTGATGTTTTGAATTTGAAAAGTGGCGGGAGACATAATTTTCGCGACGTAATAATTCATGGGAATTAAATTTTAATATAAATACACATTCATTTCATAAAGTACACTGGGAGGCTGGGAATGTTGATTCGATAACTCGTGTACCTCTATTTTCTTTTTTCTGAATTTGCGATGTCAGAACTTTGTTCTTGATATACTAGTTTCTGAGATGTCCAGCATTTTTATTATAGTGAAAGTTGAATAGATAAATGACTGGCTGGATATGTTAACTAATAAAGATTCAAAATGTCAAAATTAAATTGTATACCTCAGCTGCAGACGAGTATAATATAATCTCAATGAGAGATTGACGCCAAAAAGATCAATCAAGATTATAACTTGTTATATTTATATCTAATATACACTACATTCAAGAGACATTAACTCATACTCACTGGTCTTATGTTTTAAAGATAGGTGGTGGTTATTGTCATCTTGGATGTTTATTTTCTGAAATATAGTTGTTGATTCGTAGATACTACAATATATTATAATCTTAATAGTCGAAAATATGTATTCAATCAGTATAATATCAGATGATCAGAATGGCCTAGCTTAAGACATGAATCATACATGATAAATTATATTCTTGAATGGTTGTAAATTAGTATCTTTATTCATGATTCTAATCTGATAAAATTTGATATTTAACATGTATAATCATCAATATTATGAATAATCCATATCATACATGAAACAAGTTTCTAAAGATATTCATCATAAAAAGTAGCAAAACATAATAAATTGATCTATGTTGATTGAAACTATTTAATCAAAAGATTTATAATTAAGCACATATCAGGTATTGGTTATTAATAGATAGTGGGGCAGACACATGCATCATCTTTCAAGATTTTGTTAGCATTAACGTCCCATAAGTACTATATTGGAAATGCTTTCTAGTTGAAATTTGAAAATAAATTTTGATATTAAAAAGTGGCGAAAGTATTACGTAATACAATTTTTATTTTTCATATCCAAACAATTTTAAATATTTTGATATTTTTGTATGATTCTGAAGTCATGATATAGCAAAGAAATTGTTATTTTTTAAGCGGTGATTCCATATTTTCCAAATACCTATCAAGAACATTAAAAAAGTATACGTTTGTGATCTATTGTATATATTTTTTGATTTTCTGTTGCAGTTAACACGGATACTATATAATTACGCTTATCCAATGGTTTTTGTTGATGTTTTCCGGTAATATTAGCTTCACATTTTCCAATTTTTCTGATATAGACAAGTATTGACAAGTTATACGTTGAGATGATTAATGATATACTTGTTATTATTGTATCTAATATACATTTCATTCAAGAAACATTAGTCTCATTCTCACTGGTCTTGCTTTATAGATAGGTGGTGGCTTTTGTTAATCTTGAATGTTTATTTTTGAGAAAGAGTTTACTTATTCGTAGTTACTACAGTATATAGTCTTATCAGTAGTTAAAAATATAATGTATTCTTGATCAAGACAATATATTATATTATCAGAAGATCAGAGTGGTCCTGAGACATGAATCATATATATGATGATACTATATAATTCTTGAATCATTGTAAAAGTTGATTGATTCTCTAATCTGATGATTGATCTTTGCCTATTTATTATCAATATTAATCGACATCACATAGAATGCAATTTTTTGAAATCATACTAAGAGTACTAAGAGCCTTCATACTACTTATATAAGACCGAAATAAACTTCAAGAAATAGGTTTTGGAAGTGCTTTATTATAAATCAAATAGTTGATAAAGTTGGGAAACGAATTGATATAAAGTAATGACAAAACGGTCTTGAATTTATTATATTATAAAATGAATTCGACGTCGTCCTCGTCATTTTACTCTTGTTAACATCATCTATATAAACAACTACAATAAGACAATCAATAAACAATCAATAACAAAATCAAAGAATATCATAATCATTTGTATAGATTCAATATAATCCTTTGAATTGTTATGTATATTTATAATACTATATAAACTCCAATAGTTATTTAATCATTTGGAATTAAAAGTTTATTGTATTTGATTAATTGGATAGCTGTTTCCAAGAACGATTTTAAAATTAGTGATATTCCTATATAAATACGGGTTCACCTAGAGCGGGACATCAGTTATGTATATGGCAACATCATGATCAATTCAATAAAATATGAAAATACTCCAGAAGGACACGTATATATATATTAATATTGTATTTGTGGAATTCAATTGATTTATATATAGAAAAAATTAGCCGCTGGAAGTACAACTGGATCAAAGTAAAAATATGACATCATACTAGGTACCATAACAATTAATTAGCACTCAAAGCTTTAGATCTTGCTATATTTAAGCTATAATGACATATGGAACTATTATATAGTATATAGTCATATAGAAAGAGTACATAGCAATAAAATCAAAAACACCAACGTACTTCATTAATTATAAGATTTAGATTGATAAAACTATTGGCCATCGCGATCGACATAGAAACAAGTTACAAGAGTTATTCGCGATCAATAACAATTTTTTTACAATAAGGGGTTGAAAAAAAAAAGCTAGGTGGGTGGACTTTGTCAATTCAACATTACTTTTCAGGTCTGAAAACTTACATATCAGCTGCACTTTTCCCAGTGTTGGTGTCTTTGAACTAGTAAATATTTCTAGAGTGAACTACTTTTCCAGTCTTATATATATTGAAATATTATAACAAAATATCAATAGAACCTTTAATCATTTTTTAGTTTTTTGGTCTTATTATATATGTTGTTATTAATAATATACACACTACATTCAATAGACATTAATTCATACTCACTGGTCTTTTTAGATAGGTGGTGGTTTTTGTCAATCTTGAATGTGTTTGATTTTTGAAATAGTTGTTTATTCGTAGATACTACAATGTCAAAATGTCTAATTGAAAATATGTATTGATCAAGAGACTATGATATTACATATCAGATGATCAGAATGGTCTTATAACATGAATCATACGTGATAAATAGTCTTGAATCATTGTAAATTCCTTCAACTAATCATCATCAACATTGATGATCTTATTAGTATATGGAATTATGGAGATCACCAATTAGGTCATTGCACTTAGACATCCATACACGTTGGAATTCAACATTTCTATTGATCAACAGGTGTTTGCACTAAGAAAAACCATTAACACGATTTAATATATTAACACAATTTAAATTATATAAAGTTGAAATCTGTTTAGTCTTTTCAGTTTTCACTTTAGAAATTTCAAAAGGAAGGAAATGATTACAGGTTTTTTATGTAATCAGTTGAAAAAAAACTACAATATTGAACTAGAAACTGCTTTTTAGTTTGAAATAAATATTTAATCATTCTTTCGAATCATGATGGTGCTCTCTTAGAACTTTTTTTCTTTTTTCCAGCTCAATTCTGATTAACGTTTTGAGTTTTGAATCTCAAATAACCGATAATAGTTGAATAACATGTCAAATAATATTCATGAAATCACAATACGGTTTAAATTTATAAGCTTTAATATTGAGGATCAGAGACTCAAGTATTGACATGATCAGATACCTCCAAAAAAAAAATAGATATTAATCATGAGATTTCAATCAATAATTAATAGTTTAATGTTGTCAAGCTTGCATATCAATTACTTATGTCAAACTTGTGTTGTTATCATTAAATTAATATACACATCATTCAAGAAAGATTAATTTCATACTCACTAGTCTTTTAGATAGGTGGTGGTTATTGTTATCTTGAATGTTTCATTTTTGAAAGAAATAGCAATTCGTAGATAAGCTACAATGTATAGTTTCATTAATATAGTTGAAAATATGTATTCAATCAAGAAAGTTATAATATCAGATGATCAGAATGGTCTTGATTAGACATGAATCATACATGATTATCATATTCTTGAATTATTTTGAGATTCAAGTGATCTTCTAATCTGATGGTTGATATCTGTCTGTTAATCAACAATTATATCAAAATTGATCAATGAATTTAACGACGTAGATATATATCAGATTAATATATTTAATTTTAAATAATTCGACATAACACAAAAATCCATCTGATGAGAAACACATCCTGCAGGAGAAACAATGCATCACAAATTTGATTTAGTCAGCTCACTAGTTGATAATGAAAAGCATATTCCCACTGTATTCAAGCTCTAAGGTTATCCAAATAAAAGCCAAAAAATCTATACATGATTAATATTGTAAATGGAAATATCAGAAGTTCGGTATATATGGAAATTTTATGAGAAAAACTGATATTAATATCTAGTACGCGAATTGAAAAACATTAAGATAAAATAATTGGATCTTAAACATTCTTCAAAATTATGCTCTGCAATATTTTTTAATATGATGGAATATTTGCAATATCTTTAATTACTACGTAAACAACTACAATATAAAATGTAATCAATAAACAAATCAAAATTAACAAAATCAAAGAATATCATAATCATATGTATATAGATTTGATATAGTTCTTTGTATTGTTATGTATATTTATATAATGACGTACTGTACTATAAAACTAATTCAATTAAATCATATTGATAAATCAATTATTAAATTAGTTTATTGTATCATTGTATCCATATAATTATTCAAAATAAAGATTTCACCACAAGACCCAAACGAAAAGTACTGCATCTACCATATAGTAATCACAATTACTAGATTAAAATAATATATCAAGCTGCTTGTATACAATTATTCAATCAATTAGACCAATTAAGATATTTCAAAATTTTAAATTTATCACTTATCAATAATTTTATCCTCCAATATGATGATCAGAAGTTTGATGAATCTAGTGGAAACGTTCGATACAAAATTAAAAATTTAAAGGAAAAGACGTTTTTGTGGTCACTTCATTTAAATAGAATTGA